GGGGAATGGAGGGTGGGTCGAGGCGGGGAGTGAAAGGAGGAGGATGGTGCAGGTTGGTTAGAGGGGAAGTGGGTTACGGGGGGTGGGGTGGAGAGGCGGGGGTGAAAGGCAGGGGAGAGGGGCGCCCGCTCTAGACGTGGGGTCACGAAGGGGGGTCGGGGGGTGACCATGGGGTCAATTGACCCGTGCTGGCATCACCCGGACAATAACCCCTCAAGAAAGGTTCGCGGTACTCACATCTTGCGTCCTCTTCTGTGAATCGCAGAATTTATTCCCAAACGGTGTAGATAGTAGTCACGACTGTGCTATGCACTCACTTTGTGTGGATTCAAACCATGGTACAACGGCTTTTTCAAGTACCACATTTTGCGTTGTCTTCTGTGAATGGCAGAATTTATTCCCAAACTGTGTAGATGTATATAGTGTAGATGTGTGCTATGCTGTGTGGATTCAAACCATGGTACAACAGCTTTTTCAAGTGTTAGTGTTTTTTTCTGCAGCAACTTTTAGTACCATACCCGCACAACTACACATACATGGGAGACAGTGCAACCTTTAATGAAAAGCACTAAAGTGCAAAATCTCGGAGAACTGCCCATGCTTTCTACCGCTAATTGATGGGCTGGACAGGCTATTAGTAAATGTTTACTCGTGGTCTCCCACCGCTAGTAGCTCGCACCAAGGGACGTTAACTACTGGCATTTTACCGTCAGTTTTTCCTCAAAGAAAGTAATCTGAAAAATACACTGGGCACTGCTCTATTAGTGACACTTGTGCCACCTCTCAAACATGGGATACCTCTTAGAGCACACTCTTATTCTTCACACAGTAAGAGGTTTAGTATCAGTTTGGTGTGCTTGCATAGACTGCAGAGTGTCGTGGGTTCGAATCCTACCCAGGGCAACTCTTCCTATTTTCTTTGAAAAGAAAAGAGGTGTCCTGGGTGTAGTTGACTTGTTTGCCTTGCCTTGCCTTCCTACACCTCACTACCAAGTTGTTGAGACATGCAAGGCTGGCGCCAGAGTGCACCAGTGGACATAGTCTCTCGGCCTACTCTTCATTTGTTCCCTGAATATGCTTCCCAGGGGACATGTGGTCACAGGTTGCACCGTGTCAAAATGGTTCAGAGGCAAAATATAGATATTCATCTAAGGGGGAAAGAGGGAGCAAAGCTCTGACTGTGCCCGTGGGTATTAACATACAGTGTGTGTGTGTGTGTGTGTGTAAAAATAGCAACAGTCTCATTCATTACCTCGTCGATATTGTGCGTATTAGAAAGGTTCACCTACATACGTGTGTGTGTAAAAATAGCAACAGTCTCGATCATTACCTCGTCGATATCTTAATAGAGCACACTCTTAATGTCCACAAGTTGTCACACAGTAAGAGGTTTTAGTTTTTAGTGAATACATGTACGTATACAAGGGCAACTCTTCTTATTTTCTTTGAAAAGAAAGAGCTGTCCTGGGTGTAGTTGACTTGTTTGCCTTGCCTTGCCTTTCTATTGTACCTCGCTACCAAGTTGTTGAGACATACATTATATAGCCTCTCAAATCCAGATACCAATGGGACAGAAGAAAAGTGTCCATATTAGTGAGGTGTCCTCATTTCAGGAGCTAAATTGCATGCAAGAACTGTTCATCTTATTGAAAATCTGTGTCCTTGAAACGGTGCCAGGAGTGACCCAACGTGTCCCGGCTGGACTGAGGGAGATGGGGTGTGGGGACCAGAGCAGCAGTGACAGCAGATCAGGAGGAGACTCGGCAGTGGGACGGAAGAGACCTCTGAAGAAACTCCCTGTCAAGAACGACTCACTGGCCTCCTTCATCCACAGATCACGTGAGGGAGCCCCTGTGATGATTGTCCCACTGGCTGGTTCTCCTCTGTGAGAATGCAAGGCCGGCCAGGGTTCTCTCTGCCCAGAGCTGATAGAGTAGTGGTTTTGTAATGCTACAATTAAACGTTTTTCACAACATATCAAAGGGAATGTGGCAGTATATAAGGGCTACAAGAAATGTTACTAAAAATTGAACTTAATTGCATTCTTACACTGTGCCCTATTGTTTTGTTCTATCTTTAGTAACATTTCTAAATTTAGCCCTTATTTACTGCCACAATCCTTTTAACATTATGTATGCCGCTTTGATGATGTAATGAAAAAACTGACTATGTACAAGAGTGTGTGTGTGCATTTAATTTTAAACCAATGTTCTAGAGAGCTCCCTTTGCTCACCAACTAAAATTTGATTTGGGAATCTTCTAAGAATTCTTGTCTTTTTATTGGGAATCTCTCTATCCTTTATTATTTTTTCTTCCCCACTTTTCCTCTGTAGTTTACTCGTGTTCCTCTCTGTTCCCAAAGACCTACTTCAAAGCACCTACCAGTGCAGGTATATATGTACATACAATGCTGTACAACTGTACATGCTTCGTTGTACTGCACTCACTGCCTGCGCAAGATTGTGCCGTTCTGTTCGGGCAAATTTAAATTTTGATGTTTTGGAAGTTGTGTGTGTAGACAATATTGTGCCTTCGGGCAAATTTAATTTTTGATGTTTTTGGAGTTGTGTTCATAATGTGTAGATGCCATTGGGTTTGGTGTGAGTGGCAGAGTTTGTGGTGGTTGGTGTTCCATTCTACTAGACTTTGAGCCCTGCTGAGCTGCCCTGGTAACTCAGTGGTAGAGCACTCTGTCTAGAAAGCAGAGTGCCGTGGGTTCGAGTCCAACCTAGATAGGGGCTTTCTGTTAGTGTGCTAAAATATACATTTTCCAGTACCTACTAGCACTCCTAAGTAAGTATTATTTGTACGTATAGCGTGTAGGTGTAGTGTGTATTTTTGTTAATTTTTGTGTGATAGAGTTTGAAGGGCTGTACTGGGAGGAACAAAAGGCACACAAACAACAGAGAAAAGCCGACACCAAGAAACTGGTCAGTGTAATATTTGAACTGCTGCCTGAATTTTTTACTTCCGCATGGGCGGCCCATTTCTGAGCACCTTTTTATAATAAGTCTTTTCCTAATGGCATTGAACGTGGTTTGATATTTTGGTGAGCTGCCCTAGTAGTTGCTTTGGAATTGAACTCACGACACTCTGCAGTCTATTGGTACACAGCAGTGCTAACCAGGGAGAGCTTATATTATACGTCTATGATGCAAGGTTGTACCATGCCCATCCCTATATACTAAGTACTACTGTACGTACTTAGTGATACAACACAATAGCCAAACCCCATGCGGGACACAGGATTCAGTACTTTTACTGGGAGCGGGTCATGCAGGGGTAAATAAAACCACTAATGATGCCCGAAATCCATGCTACAAGTGTACTGTACATGTATTTTGCATCAATAAGGGTGATGTATATATAGTGAAGGGTGCGTATATATGTGATAATGTTTGATACTCAGAGAGCTCTCCTGAGTGATGACTCGGTGGCAGAGATGGAGGAACACGACCTGGACACCTACCATCCTGTGGGACAAGGTCTGGTTTCTAATTAACGCATCACATGTTAATTCTCAGACAGTAGGTAATTCTCGCATCACATCACTAAGATCTATTATGTTATCTATTAGTATTAGGCAACTACTCCGGGTTGTATTCTCACGTAGGTGTCGTCACGCTTAAGAATGTCAATTAGTCACGCTTAGGAATGTCAACTTCCATCATTCGTAGGAAGTCAGCTTCCGCCGTGCGCGCAGATTCGTAGGAAGTCTGGCTTCGCACGCAGTCAGTAGAGCGCGCGCACGAGCGGCCTCAGTCGGACTGTTTACGCATTGGCTGGCAGGTGCGAGGCAAAATATGCACGTGCGCATTCCTATAGTATAATATATATGTATATGCAACAACACTGTATATATGCACACTGTACGTATGGATTAATGTTGACTTATTATGTACAGTGTGAAAAGGCATGCAGCCTAGGTCATGAAATATTCTCCATCCGTGGCTGCATTCTTTATTTTTTAACCACCAATTCTCAAGGCTGGTGTCCTACCGTTTTAGTCTTGTGTGTGTGTGTGTGTACTTGGGTGTAGGATGGAGGGTGACTTGGTTTTTCTATTTTTTTATGGCTAGTACTGCTATAAACATGCTTTTCAACAATTTACTACTCCGTGTGTGTGTGTATATGACTTTGTTTTTTTAATCTTTTTATGGCAGTATGCTATGAACATGCTTTTCAATTTTAAACATGTACTCTGTATAATATTGTATTGTTGGTGGACATTCAGATGATGTAAGTGATGAGGAGGAGGAGGGGGGAGAGGGGCTGCACCTCCTCCTGCTGACGAGGAACAGTTCCACGCTGCTTTTGAGGTCTGTCTGTCTGCGGTTAGGTGTTTGTAGTGTGCCCTTAATTACTGTTCCTTTGGTTGGACTGATTTATGTATCAACTATCAGTGTTATAATAATTATTGCATCGAATAGTTGTTGACCCCCCGATATTGCAAATGAGTTACGCACAAATGTAGCAGTTAACTGTGCTTGCCTTGTGTTGTGTTGTAGATTCGAACCCCTACCAGCTGAGTTGCCCTGGTAGCTCAGTTGGTAGAGCGCTTGAGGGTTAGGAAGAAAGACCTGCCCTGGGTGTAGTCGACCTGCCTTTCTACCTCGTTACCAAGTTGTTAAGACATGCTACATACTGTCTTACATGCTTGTATATTTTCATCAGCCCCAATGAGATGCTATTTTGTGTGTACATATTTCACTGAGTTTATCTGTCATTATTATTTACTTTGATGACTCAAATGCACTGCAGAGGTTTCACGATGTTCCGTCTTCATTTCATGGAGTGGAGCCTATGGGTACGTACGTACATGTTGTCTGTCTCTTCAAATTGCACAATTGAAATAGATTTTTATGTACACAAACAATGGAAACATAATTATATAAATGATATTGGCAATTGCTTCAAACTAACAAATGTGCAATTGTCTTTTTTACTACTGTGTAAGTATCTCCTCTGTAGATCCTTTAACACAGTTCTTTTTCCTTTTCTTATAATGTTTTAGTAGTTATAATATATTTTGCAGCACAGCTTTTAAATTGAAAGTCCTGGCTTTATTATGATACGCTTCTGTACCCACCTAATGGGTTAATCCCCGCTACGGATGCCACACGTACATAGATCCTTTAGCACAGTTTTTCACCTTTCTTAATGAGTGTTGTAATGATGTTTTTAGTAGTTATTTTGCAGCGCTGTGTTTAAACATTACACTAAGTCCCGGCTTTATTGTTATAATTATGCTTCTGAGCCCACCTATGTAATGGGTTAATCCCCGCTACGGATGCCACACTTTGTAGCACTGTTTTTCATGTTACTATGTATTTGCAGCTCTGGAGGAAGGTAGTGGGTCACTTGGTACTCCACTGGAGAGCCACAGGAGGTGCAACTACGAGGATCTCGTCCGTGAATATGTGGTCAGTTTTGTCTTATTAAACCAATTGATGAATTTGTGTACATTATGTGTGTTTTTACTGTCGGCGCACATGCACAGCGAAGGTTACAATACTAGACTAGCAAGAGAGTAAAAACATAGCCCAGCCCATCAATACACCATAGTTGCAAGTCCCCCAGCTGCGTACTTTTCTCTTCGTCCCTGAACTGGTGCATACTGTATTAGCCATAGCACACATGTGCATGGGTTTGATATTTATAGTGCGCCGAGAGTTTGCACTTCAGTGCTTTTAATTCCCCGCGGCAAAGATGCTGAAAGCCAACAGCTCTATATTTTGGCAAAGAGTCTGGTGCGCTTGTCGGTCAGTGCATTTGTGTGTCACAGACTGCACATCTGTTCAAGTTTAACCCTTATTTTCATGCGATTTTGTGCTCAAAATGTTTCTGCAGCTGTCGATACATACGTACGCTCTATAAATGTGTACATTCACGTGTATACACTATGCATGGTGGGCGGTTAAGCCAAGTTCAACATTGCATTATTTCGTGGTGTCTACTGAGTGGAGCAGGTGGGACAGAATGAGGTATTGTGATGACCGGTGTCCATGGTCCCATGCCAATACACCAGTGACCTGATCAGCTATCAGTTGAACCACCACTTGGCACACTCCACTCTAATTTCAGCTTATTCAGGAAGCTAGACACCTGTACGTGACCCCTACTCTGGAAACTCTATCTCCTGATGTGTCCCCATCATCTGTTGCAATGTTGTATATACGTAGGTACCAGGTGGAACTTAGCCAATTTAATCTCCTGCCTATTTGCTTTTTAGCAGGTTCTATGTGTATGCAGGAGCTACAGTTCGCATTTAATCCATTCATTTGAGTGAGAGTATACTGTGCCATATAGCACAGTGGTTTTAGGTGTGCCTTTGTGTTGTGTTGTGTTGTAGATTCGAACCCCTACCAGCTGAGTTGCCCTGGTAGCTCAGTTGGTAGAGCGCTCGCCTTGACTGCAGAGTGTCGTGGGTTCGAATCCCACCCAGGGCAACTCTTCTTCTTTTCTTTGAAAAAAGCTGTCCTGGGTGTAGTTGACTTGTTTGCCTTGCCTTGCCTTTCTACCTCGTTACCAAGTTGTTGAGACATGCCCTGACCCTCATATGTACCGTAAAATGTGAGGCCGATCGACGTGTATGTACAAAACACCGTTATGCACTATGTGTTTTGGTAACAGAGAGGGCAACTATACATACGGGTGTGGTGCGTGTGCATCTACTCTTTGTCTTCTCCCGCCCCCTCTCTTTCTCAATATACTAACAACTTAAGAAATGGGGAAAGGAATAAAGTAAACAGGACAAGAACGAAGTCGAAACTTTATTCCCAAATTTGGGATTGTTAAGACCTGTATGTGTATGTGCTCCCATATCAATAATTGTGATTCTGTAAACTTAGCAGTACTGACTACGTTCGATTTACTCTCCATAAAACTAATGCATTTACCATTAGTGTAACCACCGTGTTATGTGTAAGGACAGTAGGTAGTATATACATGATTACTAATGTACATGTGGTATACCACAGCAAAGAGTGTGTGTACTGATCGGGTCTGGTAATAGAGAGGTGTGTTGGCAGTTGGTGGTGGAACTCCGTGGGATAATGTATTGAGGTTGTCTGGTGTCAAGTTTTCCCACCCAGAGCAGTGTGGGCAGGTAGGGGAGATGGCTCTACTAACTGCCGGCTGAGAGCCAGAGTTTGCAATATCACTGTCACTGTCGGGTTGTTTGGTTCACTTGTAGTCAAATTTCATGATTATTCTTACATGCAGTGGTCTTGTTTATAACTGTTATTCTATGGGTGGATTTTGGGAAGAATCTGGTGTCCATAGTTAAATCGTTTAGTAGCATGAAAGTACCGGTGCTGATGTATTTATCACCAGATAACCTCAGGTTTTTGCTGGAGTAATGTATTTTTGACACCCAGATATTTTTACCATTTCAGTATGACAGAGTTTCAGGCAAGGTTTTATATCACGCCATGTAAGTGTACATACTGAGTGAGGGGTATAGCACAGTGGTTTGAGGTTTGCCTTGTATTGTGTTGTAGATTCGAACCCCTACCAGCTGTAGTTGCCCTGGTAGCTCAGTAGGTGTGGGTTCGAATCCCACCTAGGGCAACTCTTCTTCTTTTCTTTAGAAAGAAAGAAAGAGCCGTCCTGGGTGTAGTTGACTTGTTTGTTGTGCCCTTGCCTTTCTTCCTCGTTACCAAGTTGTTGAGATGTGGAGTAGGTGACACACTATACCTACAGTCCTATGTGCAAAACAAGAGATTCTGCCTGGCACATGGTAGCACAAAATTAGGGTGTTGAACCATACACCCACACCTCTTCTAGCTTGTACCACAACCACAATGGTACGTTACAACTCTGTTGATGAATGACATACCCGTTTGAAGGATTGTTGAACATTCCACTGCTCATGTGTCTAAGCCACCCAGCATTTCCTTGAAGGAGTTACATCAGTACCTACTTACTATTATGCAATGAGTAATTACTCGTGTGTGTGTGCCTATGTATAGTGTGGATGTTACAGACTTAGGAATTAGGACGAGCTTCAATTTTGCCAAAAATAGAACTCTAAAATAGCGAAGCAGATTGCCCGGTCTATAATGTTGCAGGATATGCTATTGAGCAATACGTTGGTGTTAGCTGTGGCTAAAATTATTTAGGGTGGTGCAATATGAGACTTATTACGTTATCATCTCGTATGAAAATGCAGTTATGTGGGTAGTGAAGGAATGTGGGGTTAACAATGCAGCATGAAATCCATCCAGAACACAGAATATTTCACAATTGCAACACTGCGTGTGTGTATATATGTGTTGGCATGAATGAATCCACTTGTATTAACACTTAACAAGCCGCGGACACAATTAATGTGTACAGAGCCTCCATAAGTCTATGTATAAGAATTTTATACATCAATTTCTACTTCTTTAAGCAGAGCCCCATGGCGTCCAAAGGGTTTTAAAGATAATCTTGCATCCCATGTGCTGCTCTGTGTGTGTGTGTGTGTATTGTGAACGTTAACGAGACAGGGACATATTTCATCTATGTACGGTGTGAGATATGGAGGCAGTGTATGAAAATATGGACTTATTCCTCTGATAGGCAGTGGCTTCTGTTTTCTTGTTTGTTTAAACACAGTTGTGATGTGGTGTACCAGCAGGCATACTTTTACATGTCCCTGCTCACTATGCTGGTATGGTACGTTTTTGGTGCACACACAGCTTCCTTTAGCTCACGTCCATTTAGGGCTATAAACAGTGTACATACGTTATGTATGTGAGCAGTATCCAGGTTGCTATGGCCTTATTGGAGAATTAATATTGTTTGTAAGCAGGTTACATAATTATGTAAACTATTCAGTACATTGCATATACTATACACCCCACGTTTAATAATTTGTGACGTACATGTCCTATGGCTTCTCCTAGCCAAATAAGTTTGGCCTTGTGCATCCCGTATACACAAGTGCTGCGCTCCTGGTAGCCTTTATAAACTGTGATGCCAGAGAGAGAAGTTGGGTATGCTCTGCTGATGAGGGCCAACAAGCCCGAAACAGCTGTCCAGAGCTCCCATCTTGTTTCTCTTGGCATCACATGGTCTATTACCTTCATGTACAGTACAACTCCAAACAAGTTCTGTTAATTGGAGCTGTAGCGGTGTGTATGTACATATATAAAATGACAGTTCATAGTTTGGCCTCCATACTTTTAGTGCGCGTGTAATGCTTGTCTTTATAATTTCAATTTCATTCATAAACAAGCACAGCATGATAACACAGTGGTATAGTGACTTGACCATGCAAAGAACTTTGTTAAACGGAGCAACAAAACGAAATGGATGAAGCCTATGGTGCAGTTAAAAAAAAAACCTGTTGCGCAAGTGTACATGGCTATAATTATGTATAGATCAGGGACGTGATTGTTTAAGCCTACATTGTATAACTAGCGAAAAAGTGGTATAAAAATGCACGAGTGTAAAAATCTGTTGGATAATAGAAATTAATAATGGTCAGCTTTTAGAAAAAGTTTGAGAGACTATAAGAATTCTGACTCGGCTGTTACTCGAAACATGAGAGCATCGTAGTAGAGGAGGCGGCTTTCTACGAGGTCGTGGGGTGCAAAGTTCTCGTACTTTCTAGCCTCGACAAGCACTTCACTTGTGACGCGATCTTGCGGGGAGTCAGAGTGGAAATACACGTAGGTTTTTGGATTTTGAGACGAACCAGGGTTAGTAGAGTGACTGCTGTCGAAATTTTCGTCTTGCTTGACTATCTCGACCATCAGGTGAAACGGTAGCTCGACGGGCCACGAGAGTTCGTCGTCAAACTCACCGTTGAGAAGACAGATGGAGAGGGAGAGGGCGGAGCCTTGCGCGGAGCCCGTGCCTATTGCGTGAACGGCGATACACATCTTGTAGCCGCCGGCCACATAGAACGGAGTGCTGTACCACGTCTTCCCGCTCGACTTGTACTCGGAGTAGTTGACCATTTGGAGCGTGACGGGAGTGTTGATGCTGTCGATGGTGTAGTTGTTTACGGTGAGTGCCTGGATGGACTGAACCGCTATGACCTGTCTCTCGGTACAACTCGCGAGGAGTTCGGAGGCGTTCCGAGCAATTGCCCTCATCTTTCGCTCCATTTGAGACTGGGAGCTGTGTGCCTGTCGGCGTAGGTCCTCGACCTCTGCCTTGGCCATGTGCATCTGTCGCTCGGCGGAGTCTGCCCTCGTCTTGAAGGAGTCCATGGACTTTGTCACTAGATCGAGATGGTGTGTAATAAAGGCCCCCAGATGGTCCTGGAGGTCTTTCTGTACCAGTGATGCCTTGCAACCGGCACCGGCAAACGGGCATGTGGTGGGTTTCATCCCGCAGACCGGCTCGTGTTTGGAGAGCTCCGAGCGCTTGATGTTCTTTGTGTTGCAGTTGTAGGAGCATTTGACTGGGTAGCTCGGACACACGACATAGTGGGTCCCTGTCACGACTTGGTACGTGTTCTCGTGGTTGCAGTACTGACAGCGGACTCGACGCAGCAAGCAGTGCTTCAAAAGATGCTCCTTTATGTCACGTCGCATCATCGTCTGCCCACACTTGTTGGCGCAGAGGACGGCCTCGTAGGGACAGCCTTGGGAAGCGTGGAGGTGCGATTTCACTGTGCTCATTTCCCCCGTCCACTTGCAGCCCTTCTTGTGGTGCGGGCAGTAGATTTTGAGCATGTCGATCCGTTGCTCAAAGTGCTTGTCCTTGAAGTGGTTGAAATTGGGTGTGTGGCAGTTGGGGCATGTCGGGTTTGATGCTATCCGCCGCTCGATGCAGCTCTTACAGTAGTGCTGGCCGCAGCACACGACCTGGACTGGCTCCCGGAGGACCTTGGAGCATAGCTTGCAGCTAAGTTCGGGAGAGACCTTCCCGACAAAGTCGAAAGTGTAGCCATTGTGTTCCAACTTTGGACTGTTACTCATGATCTGCAGATAGAAAGAGAGCACAGCATATTACTAAGTATTCTGGTATATTATATAGATGATATGTACGTATGTATGTGTGGGATGGTGGGTGGATGCACAGCTAATTCACAGCTGCAAGGAGCTTATTGGGAGTCAAACTCAGTCAGTGCACATTTAGCTACAACTCTTAGACAAAAATGGTCTTCACCTTCCTCTCTAAGTGTTTAGCTAATATTGCCAGAGACTCCATATTACTGTAAGGACTAGGATCTAAAGTTTATGTCCACGTAGTACTATAACCGCTAACAAGGGACACCCCAAGATCTCCCACGCGTACAATCCACTACAGTGCGCATACCTAGCGTTCGGTGAAGCACATTCTTACCGACTGGCGCCGTCTCTAGGGGCCGGCCTGCCTCAAACAGTTGGGTGGGGCCGTTCCTATTAGCCATCCAACACACCAAGCAATAGCGGTTCATGGATATATTCATCGGTATGAACGGTCCATTCTGCCGTTTTTTTTTGTAAAACTGTTTTTCTACATGCACCGCGCGGGCGCGTCCTACGCGAAACCGCACTACTAGATTTAGTTTCACCCGTCTTACTCTGCCGACTCACCGCCAAAACGCTGGAGGAACGGACTCGCCTCAGCACACCCTGGGCCATACGTCTCTTCCCTAGCTTGGGCTCCGTTTTCGGTCCTTTTTATACCGCCGTCGTAATAGAGCCCCGGGTTTCCGTGCCAACTCTGTTTACTGCGGCACTTCGGTTTACGTTTTGCCGTAACTTACGTGTCAATGGACGCGGAGGAATTTCAACCGGCGTCCGATTAGCGCGCGTTCCTTTCCGCTCCTGCGCCATTGAACGCGGCACGCTAATAGCTAACTTTACCTTCGCGTCTGCGGTTGGACTTTCGGAGGCGAGTTGGCATCGGCTCTTTCGCGACTTGGACGGGCGAAGACTTGTCGGGTCCAACTTTGCTGTGTGTGTGTGGGCGCGTAAACTAACTTAGGGCCGAGTGTGGTATCCATGCCTACACTGTAACCGCAGAGTCCTTCCACGATGAATGTTCATTAGTGCACGAGACGGACGGTATTCACATGGGACGCAGAGCGTTGTAGAGGGGGCGGGTCCTCCTCTGTAGCTAAAGCAATGAGTCGTGATTCATTGCCGCTTTGACAAGCATTGAAGCACTGTTATAGAGTTAGCTATGCATAGTTTGCTGGATGCCTTGCACTGTACGGTACAATAAGTTGGTAGCTACATGCAATGCCTCTCTTTGCTACTGATGTCTTATTGACATTGGCTCTGCCATTGGTTGTGTAATGTAAGATAATCTCCTTACCTCCATGAAGAGAAGTGAGTCCGTGTCAGTGGTCATCGGGCTCTCTGCACACAATAATCCAACCTCCAAGACTCTCTCTAGCTGGTTCTCAACTAAAGACCCTGACCTGCTATACTATATACAAAACTGGCTCTTATGCTCCTACTACGAGATAGTTACACTCCCTCTTCCCTAAAGGAGTGGTCAGAGTACAGTAACTAGCTATACGTGTCAGTATGTACATGTGTGGTGTAGTCAAGCATCCTGAGATTGCTCAGTATGCAGTGTCGTAGTGTGGTCGGATGGCACCTCCTACATGCCCTGCTAACTCCCTCGAGGACCAACATATTGCCTATCCTCACTATACCCAGGTCGTGAATATCCTTAATAGTACTATTGCACATGGCTGTTTAGCTGTGTGTGTGTAATGTATGTGGTAAATGCATCATTGAGCATGATGTGTAGTGCGTGAGTTACAGAACCTTGAACTTGTATTGTGTGGGCTTTTCGTCCATCCACGTGTTAAACCAGAGTGAAGTAATGCTCTCAAAGTGACTTAGCGGCTATCTTCCACAGACGTGTGTCGTAATTTGGTGTAACATAGTCACAGTGACTAACTGGATAGATAACACTATGCTCAGACCCCTGGTTGGTGGTAACTTGGACTTTTGTCTCTCAATAAACAGTTGTCGTTATTGACAGCGGCAGAGCAAAAATAAATCACCAACCATAGCCACCATAGTATTAGATGCCACTTTACATAGTTATTACGTATGTAGTAATAAAACTCTACATATTGCTTGTAGCACCCACCTTGATGCACTCGTTGACTCTGATCATCTTCTTCAAAGAGACACAAACAGTATGTAGAACCTACGGTAGTAGTGAACTGATCCTACACTTGTATATAAGTACACTGAAACCCAGTTAGCTGTGAGCCAGTCCTCCTCTTATATATACACCCCAGTGGCCTCCAGGCTCTGATATCACCACAGTTATGCCACTAGTATCAACATACATCATGATGTAATGTCAACAGTAACCTTTGCCCGTCATCCATACCCGACACGGGAGAAGGTTCACTTAGCTACCCACGTATGCCTTATGGACCACACACAACTTGAATTATGGTGTAGATTAGAGGGGTTTACTCTGTGACTGTGAACCACAAATTTACATCTTCCTTGGCATCCATAAGTTTAGTTGCGCTCCTAGTGTTTTATGGCCAACATAGTTTTTCTTGGAGGGTTTTACCCTGTAATTTACAATAATTACAAAATGACAGTATCTTGAGGTGTTATTGAAAGCGAACCAATTCCTGTGGTTCATTATGGTTGTGTAGGAAACAAGCTAAAGTTACTCGTCTGGATCGTGCACATTTTTCTGTCTGTTCTTGACAGTGAGGGTGTGGCTCTGAGTCAATATAGTGTTGCTCATGCATAGCTAGTATAATACTAGAACATAACCACACACAGTGGATGTACAGTGGCTGTGAATGCAAAATGCAAGCAATAATTCTCCAAGCTGAGAGAAAATATAGAGGATTGAGAATGGAGCTGCTGTCAGAGCAAGGTAGTGATGCTGCTCTTGCTTAACTTGCTGTGTCATGCTTCCTTATTTGATACAAGGCAAATGTAGCTCCGCCGCAATACCCTGGAACTTGTTATAATGGGCACTCTGAAAATGAAAGGAGGATTTATCTGGTTATACCCACCTCCCCTCTCAGTGGGTATCCTTTAGTCAGTGGTTCCATTTTCCCCTGGACGAATAGCACTTTAGCTAAAGATGAAAACTAAACAGGTCACGAATTACTTATTAGGGGAAATAACAGGACTACACTTTTGTGCTGCATTGTTTAATATAGTTTGTACTTAGTCACTGCATGATGGTGCAAGTCAGTGTACAATTGCACTGTCCTCTGTCTCCCTCTTCTCTCGTGCAGGAGACGACTACGGTGACAGCTGCGGCCTATGCCAACGAGACTGACCTCTCGCGGAGAGTTGCCGACTGGGAGGCCAAGATCAAACCAATCCTCGACAATGAGGTAGCTACAGTCTCTTACAATATCTGTGTACCGAGCATTTATCAACAGCATCACTATATAAACCTCCCTTTACCTCCTCCAACCCCTTCTCCTCCTGTCTTCCTTTTTCTCTTGTGTAACTGTGCATATTGATTGTTGTGTCACAGAATTCAATGTTTTCATGAATGCACTTGTAGTGGTAGGAATGGTAAAGTTCCGAATGGCTATCAAGTCTAATATGCCTATGACCAGTGGTGGATCTAGGATTTTGAAAGGAGGGTTCCGCTGTCCAGAACGTTTTCGACTGCGCTCGTGCGTGCACACAAGGCCGGCGACGCATGCGCACAAAACGACAAAAAAGGGGGGTTCCGCGGAACCGAAAGAACCCCCTGGATCCGCCACTGTATGTGCCTATATGAGTTTGTTAATGATCAATTTTGTGAATGTTGTACGGCTATCACTGACAGTGGAAAGAGTTGTAGCTATGATCACTCCCTCCACAGGAGCATAATCCATCCTTTGACATCCATGTTTGTGGATCTCGAGTCATCGACACTTTCAGGGACAACAGTAAGTGTAAGACATTGACAATGTACTGTCCACATTAAGGCACAGTTTCTCTTGTTTTAGAATAGAGAATGTGGGCTAGCCTCATAAGGATAAGGATAAGGAAGTTAGCATAACCTGATGTGTTCGCCATTCCCACAGATGAACTAGAGTTTCAGGAGCTGGCTAAAGGGAAGGAGTTGTACGAGATATCACGCCTCTTTGCCGCCACACTTCAACTGGTAGCTACATTCACACTACATGAAATTTATGCATTGACATAATTAAAACCCTTTGGACGCCATGGGTATCTCCTTAAATAAGCAGAAATTGATGTATAACATATTATGAACGCCTAGTATTAAAGCCCCATATATATTCTTATGGGTTTATGGAAGATCTGGAGATATTTATACGTCTGTGGCTTCCTAAGGGTTAAAGTCATGCTAAGACACTGTGAAAGATCTGAAAAAGGACCCTCAGAACAAAGGACACCTCTCTTTACAATGCAGTCGTTTCTTCTCAATGTTAATATTTTACCAAGAGATGATCTTCAAGGTGTCCCTTATTATGACTGTACACCTGTAAAAGGGTCCAATATGCCTTTGGTTGTGTCCCATCCCAGGCCAACGATGGTAATGTGGAGATATCGACAGAAGGTCTGATGGATGCAGTGGGCCTCAAACTGTTGTCAACTCGGAGAAGGTTTGAGAATGTCGCCAACTACAGATCATCTTCACACTGATTCTGCCGCTCTGTTGTCCATTCGAAGATTTGCACTACTCTAGCCACATAATTATTATAAGTATTATGTCAGTTTTTGAACCCGTGTTCACCTTTATTGTCATGTTTCAGTGTCCAACATAAAATGTCAAATGCGCATGCGTTAAAATAGTATATGCCACGCCCCTGCCTCAAGTTCGCCATGGCGTCGTCCACCGGGGTCTCTCCAACTGAAATAGCAACGGCTCTTCAGACTCTGACACCAGACGAAGCGAAAGAGCTGTTCTTCTACCTCAAGGTACCGCTGCACTCTCTCAACAGTGTCCCTACCAACCAGTCGGGTAACATGGCCAAGATCTCCTACATCCAGCTGTGGTATGACAACGATCACGATACGAGTTGGGACAGGATCGTGGATGGTCTTCAACGAATCGAGAAGAAGACTTTGGCTATTAGACTTGCCTCTCAGTACTGTACCAGGACTCTGACATCGGCTGATAATTTCACCCTCGACCTCCCCTCCTCTCCAGTGTCAACCCTAGAAGCGAGTGCTCTTGCAACCAGTGGGTTATCTCCCACAGAGCCCTCCCTCAACCCCGTAGCACGTCCGTCAACCCTAGAAGCGAGTGTTCTACCAACCAGTGGGTCATCTCCCACAGAGCCCTCCCTCGGCCCCGTAGCACGTCCCTCCTCCCCCTTTGACAGGGTGTCGGAAGTCAGAGCCGAGATCGACCGACTCAGTGACACCTTCTCAGACCTCGTGTCTGACACGAGAGACGAAATGTGCATCAGAGCAAGTGTGGAACCTCCATTTCTCAACAAGTTCCGCGATCGTCTCTTAGATCTTCCTGTTGCACAAAAAGCGCCTCACACCAAATTTTTCCGGGACAATGAAGACGACTTTCTAAAAGCTGTAAATATGCACAAAATATTTGCCATTCTCAGGCGCTACTCCAACTACAGAAACTATGCAGTACTGCGAGAGGTTGTCAGAAAATTCAATTCAACCATGCTCCAGCAAAGAATGAATGACTATATCAAGTCCCTTGAACATTTTGAGAAAGCTACAGCAGTAGATGTCTACCTGAGAGCTATTGAAGCTAGTGATGTTCTCTGTGCGGAATTCACCAAGATGATCGTAAAAATCGACAAGCCAGCACCTGAGTGCACACTCTACGATATTCGTAAGAAAACGGAAGAAATTACGGAAAGAGCTTCTCTCCAGTCGTACAGTGTGTACATTGGGCCTGTACTGGAGGGTTCAGTTGTGCTGGCGCTGGGGTTCCCTGCCAACTGTGTAGGGTGGATACTTGGAGCCCTGACTCCCGCCTTCCTAGCCACACATCTCCTGTCTGACGTGGTCCTCGATCAACAACCCCTCTCAATCCTCAACTGGCATCAGGAGAATCTGGTCAGTGTTGATTTTATTCATGATAGTGAATTTGATTTTGAGCCTCCAAAGTTTGTTTAGTCACACCCATTTAGTTAATTTCTCTGCGACTTGTATCCCATATTCCTAAAATTATGAGGAACGGCATTCGTAAATGAAATTCCCGTTTGTACAAACATCTCGAAATAACGTGCATGGAAGGGTGCACGAATTTTGCGTATAGCTAGCGCTTGAACGGAAGCACATTCGAACGATTTGTGTAACAATTTTTGTGTGGAAACGTAACTTTTCCCAGAGCGTGTCTCATTCTCTTCCTCAAAGACTTTGCGCTAGCTAATGTAGCTATAAGGCATTGGCCGGTTTGCTCCCTACAGAATGATGAGCTTCTTGTTGCAAGTAAAGAAGGAGATGTAGTTGCTGTCGCATCACTCCTAAACAGTTGAGCCGATATTCACTCTCAAGGCAATGTAAGTTAATTTCTTTCTTTGTATCAAGCTTAATGTGTATGCATGTTGTATATTTTCAGTACTTATTGTCTCCCCTGAGCTGTGCCGGTCGATATGGTCATTTACAAGTGGTGCGCCTCCTACTTTCAAGAGATACTAATCTGGATTATGGAGATGAGGTAGTTATATTTGAGGGTTTCTGTAAACTGTGTGAAGTAGTAAAGCACTAAAGTGCTAACCCTCGGCGAACTGCGCATACACGATACTGGTAATCGATGGGCTGGGGTATTTGTATGCGTTTACTTGTGGTCTCCTGCTAGTAGCTCGCGGAAAGGGGGCGCCATTACACTTTTCTGTCAGTTGTCACTGTCATAATGAAAAGCACTAAAGTGCAAACCCTCGGCGAACTGTGCATGCGCGATACCGCTAAATTGATGGACTGGGCTATTTTTACTCCTGGTCTCCCGCTAGTATGTAGCTCGCGGAGAGTATGACACGGGCTAGCTACAGTAGCAGATAGCATGCGTGAGTCGATACATGCCATTCGTTGTGACTTCTTGAGCCCCCAAGGTACACAGGGCGAGCAGATCAGGTCGCGGTAAGCCCAGTGCGATTATGCATATTGGCTTTTTCGCTTGTTTTCACGGCATATCTCTCGAACACGGTCGTTTCAGGAAAATCGCCTAATAAGTTTTCAGGCTCCCGTAGTTCTGAACCCGTTGGTATCGCTAATGGGCCGCCTCGTAGCCTGTAGTGCCAGAATAAGCGTCGACACACACACACACAGACAGAACGACTACTGTAACCCTCGCTGTGCATGCGCGCGAGGGTTAATAATATCCATGGTATATATAGAGTTATAACAGGAATCCTTTTGTTACGCAGGACGGATGGACACCTCTGATGTACGCCTCGGCCAATGGTCACTCTGAAGTAGTGAAGGAACTGATATCTCTTGGAGCGAATGTTAACACTCAAGACAACGTAAGCCACGACTCTTCGTAGCTATAATAGACTTTTAAAGTACCTTGTAGTCCAACTTCAAACAACCCGGTGCTAGGAATATACGCTGTATTCTGAGCTGTGGGCTGCGGGCTGCACAGGTATCAGTATTGGACAGGAAGTCCTTATCATAACATCTAGCGCTGGGCGTAGTGCAAATTGTCTGGCTTCCAAAGTTTACACGACAGTCATTAGTTCATTAGTGCAAGATGACGCAGCAGAAATTCAGCATTGTGATTGGCTAGTTGGACAAGGTCAGGCGTCTTGGCGCGTACAGCAATCCCCCTCGGCTGTTAACTATACCGCGCCTCGGGCTACGCCCTCGTCCGCGCGCTATAGTCAACGGCCTCGGAGTATCTCCTGTACCGCCTCGCCGCCTATACGTTAACTAATACTTATTGTATTTTGCGTGGGCGAATCAAAGGCGCCGCCAGTACTATATTCATCATACAGAACGGTTTTTGAATGAACTGTACTATATCGCGCGGAACTGTACTATATCACACGAACTGTACTATATCCGCGGACTAGTGTACGCTTTGCGGGAATGACGCCTCGGCGGCCTTTCGTAGACGGAGATCGACTCAGACGGTGACACAAACAGCTGCTGGAAGGGCGCTCCGCGAGCTTCTCGTCCTCTCTTCCGTTCTGAACGCTGGTTTTCCTGGTCGATCGCCGCCTTTTGAATCGCCCACGCATACAATAAATTACTTAATTACGGAAGCACGTGCTGTGCGCGTGATAATGGTACTCGGAACGTGGTCTCGATAGATCATACAGCAACTCGGCTGCGCCTCGTGCTGTATGACTATCTGGACCACGCCCCTCGTACCATTATTACGCGCACTGCACTGACTTCCGTACCTTAACTATTACTTACATGTAATTTGCTTGCTGTCTACCGACAACTTGTATGGAATGTCAGGCTCCTTTGTTCCCCTGCATCTAGCCTCTCTCTTTCTTCTCTTTGTTGGTGGCGAAACTAGTTCGGTGAACCTACATTATCCTTTTATGAAGTTTGCTTCCCGCTTTGTTAGAGAGGGGACTCTGCGGTCATCATTGCAGTACTGGAGGGGTATCGAGATACTCTGGCACTCCTAGTAAATGCAGGCAGTGATCTCAACCTCCAAAACCACGTGAGGCAGTGCATTTTTAGCAGAACATTTCGTCACCCACAGTATATATTTTTATTGACCCCACAACAACTTAAAAGACTCGTACTTGGGTTGGTTCTTCATATTATAAGACTAAGTTTTGATTCACGAAATTCGTATTTTCATTATTCTTAACTCGTAACCCATGTTCATATATAACCTTTTTCTCTTTTCTCTTATGGTGTTATGGTGTTCGGAGGTTCCACTGTATAGCTATAGAGTAACCAACAACATAAGGCATACTGCTCACTTGGCCCACTTCATTATAGGGAGGCCTGACTGCTCTAATGATAGCAGTCAGATACGGTAGACGGACGATGATCAGAACCCTACTAAAAGGAGACCTTGACTTACAGGAACATGTAAGTATCAAATGTCCCATTTTTGAGTCATGTTTTATGCTGATCCATATTATTAGCAATGGTGAGAAGTGATTGCCTAATGTGTGTCCGAGTGACATTATTTGCCTGGAAAATCATTGCTATGAATTGGAATTTTCCATGCTAGAATACAGCTACAGCTGACTGAATTTACACAGTTTCATCTACTGGTAGCTACTGCAAATTACATCATTGCTTTGCATTGCCGCAGTGCTATTCCCCTTTGAAGGTGCTAGTGATAAAAAAAAAGTGATGCTAGCCTATTAATTAATCAGGCGGCATAATACATCCACATAGTTATTACAGAGAGTTCCAAGCCACTTTTAGAGGTTCTCTAAAATGCATGCCGTCCTACAATCATACATTGCATTACAAATGCATTCAGACTGGGGGATGGTCAGCTCTCCACTTCTCAGCTGAAAATGGAGACCCAGCTATAACATCTGCTCTTGTCTCGTCAGGGGCTAATGTCCACCTTCCAGATAAGGTATGGGAATACTTTAAATGGTTATGGACAGGCCTAATCCACTCTTTCGTAGAATTTCTTGACACCTCTCGTGATTGCTGCAATGAAACTAAACTATGAAGACTCTAGGCTCATGCCAGAATGGTCTGCATACTACATGAATGACTATAGAGGAGAGAGAGACTATGGTAGAGTCTTATGGCTGCTAGAAAGGAGCTTCATACCCATCCCCACACCAGCTCATCAAGTGAGATGATAACTAGGATAAATTTCCATTAGAGAGCAGCGCTATTTTTTGTCTCACTCAAATAACTTACAACAATTGTATTATGCAGCATGTTTTGTAGTAACTATAGCAGCCCCGAAATATCTAGTCTGTGTGGTCATTACATTTTATCTACATTGCAGCCAGTCACAGACCGTAGAAAGGTTAAACAGAGGCCTCTGGACAAGGATTGGAAAGCAGAAGAAACACCAAGCCTAAGGAATTAATTGTAAAAGGAACAGGAACATAATTATTGTATGATTTCATGATCATTTTTTGCTTGGTGCGCAGGCAAGGGTTATTGTCTCTCCATATGTCCATATATAGCTGCCTGTCCTTGTCTGTTCACGGTGGCTGTCCAGAGTCCAGTATCCCTGGTGCTTCACTCGCTTCTGCTTCGCGTTAGATAAGTGGCATGCATGGCCATTACTGCACATTTACAAATTTCAAGAAGAAGCACTAATAATAGTATACTACCTAGCTCTCTAACAATTATTAATGTTCTATATACTATCTATTCTCAGTTGCTAGATAAGACCAGAGTCCAGAGCTCAAAGATCACTCCTTGTCCTTAGTAACAAGCACAAAAACTTTTCTATCGAGAACGACTGGGTTTATAGTTCCTTGAGTCACAGCGGGCTGTAAAGTGAGGTTGGTGGGTCTAGTAGTGGTCACGACTATAGTTTCGTGTCTCTTCTTGCTGCTCGAGCCACCACCAAGACAGCAGCAGAGAATGCAACACCCCAGGATGACCAAGCCAGCAATCACAGACCCAGATGCTGCACCTGCAGTGGAACCTGACCCTCCATCTGCATAACAATGGACTCATCATAAAAACCAGCCACAGGCACATAAATGTGTCCAGAGCTCCATATGATATGGGGTTATAATACTAGGCGCTAATAATTATACTTAATACATCAATTCCTGCAGCTTATTTAAGCAGATACCCATGGCGTCCCAAGGCTAAAAATTTTTCTAAAAACTGACCATGATTTTCGTCTTCGTCCACACATAAAGTCGATGGATCTTTGTAGCCTTCAAGACAAACTTTTTCACCGGTCTCAGGATTGCACCGGTAGTGGCCCCGGACGTCGCTATCTCTTGGACGGCAGAAAACGTCACATTGGCCTGTCGGGTAGTAATCATCATCGCAGAGAATGCAGCTGGATTCCAAAAAATGTCCTTCACACCTGCACTCGGTAGTATCTCCATTAAATCCATTGGGGCAAGATCCACAGACTCTCCAAGGTAGTTGCACAGTGTTTGTTGAGGCTCTTCGATGCACTCCTTATCACACTGTGGCCCGTATTGATTGGTAGGGCACTGGGATGTGAGGCGAAACTTGACAGCCAAGCTTGCCCTTCCACATGATCCGGAATAAGTCTTTGAAAGGCTAAACTGTGAGTCTGCTTCCAACCGTCCACTCAAAGGAATAGTTATGTCATCCACAGTATCATTGTCACCGATGGAGTCGTAATCCGTAATGTTTACATACAGCTCCAGAAGACTCTGCAACGACATAAACAACATGCTTGCTGCTAAACACGCACGCGCAGTCTTTTCGGTGTTACTTAGTGCGCGCTACCCCAAACCCATGCACTCGGCAAATGCTCCACGTCAACTATATAGTCAAAACGTTCACGCACGTGAAGTGTCTCCCAGAGTCCGGGTAATCTGGGCCCTGCGCGCCGCGTAATGGGCCTGCGAGCGCGGCGGCGCGCGCGTGGGTCGTGAATGCATGCTATAAAATCTATGGCGGGGGCACTCCTTATTTTTGGCAAGCATTCCTCCACATTCATAGTAGCCAGTCCCGGCCTCTCCACCTTAGACGGGTTATGTACAAGACTATAATGCTCAATGTCCCCGCGCAACCAATCAGCGACAAGCTCGTATGAAAATGACAATCTGCCACGATGAAAAACAGTTTTTGACGCTATTGCTGTTGGTTATTATCTGAATAGCTAGAGTATGCACTACTTACCGAGGTTGAAATACTTGAAAACACCAAGGGATTACTAATTCCGAGTCGACTGAGGTCATAAGAACTGAATGTCATGCTGTCGTCTTGAACATAATTCGTACCGAGACTAGCGAGACAGAACTCGCTCCCTACAACTCTCAAGCAGAAAAGAAAAACGTTATCGCAAGTTCCGTAATAAACTCCCTCGCAGTTTCCCCCGTTGCAGTCTTCGCTGGTCGGATTACTATAGGAAATAAGGTCCACCTCCACAGTCAGTGTAGCACTTGAATAGGTCTGTGAAAAATTTAACCATCATACACAAGTTTATATACCAACATTGGTTTTGACAAACGTACCAGTCCAAAGAAAAGCACCAAAAGCTTGCTGGTGATGCTCATGTCTGCTCAAACTAGCTATTATAACTGCTTCTTGGCGCAAATTAACGCATCAGCCAGCCACCGAATCAACGAAAGAGTGTTAAACCTTTCAGTAATAATAGTATTGTGGCGCGCCACTCCCAACATTCTGGCCCATGAATCCATTTATAAAAACCCAACACTGATCAAGCGAAAGTAAAAACTTACTTCATAATTGAAGTATAATTATACTACAATAACATTCTCACAGATTCCTAAAAACTACTCACATGAATCATATCTGTTACCCTGTATATAAAAACCCTGTAGCACTTATTAGTATATGGAAAATATCAAGGATAATAGTAACGTAACAATCATGCTACTTCAATACAATTATACTATATTATATAATTATTATTCATAACAAGCCAAAGTCATTTTCATGGTCTGAGAGTGTTGTAGCTGAAAGTCGACTTGCTGGGGGTAAATGCCTGGTATGGTACACATCATGTTTTGTCCTTGTACACTTTCGAATTCACTCATAGATATGTTGAATCAAGCCCATGGGTCCTTTGTGGTGTGCGAGTTGAGTGTTCATTGTGACTCCTTCGTCTCACCAGAGTAGCTTCACATCTCACTTCCACAGAAGATCAACACTAGATAGGTAGCTGCCGATGCTAGGAACCTGTTGCAATCGCATATCTACCTTACCTATCCGTTACTATGGCAACTAGTGTTAGCACTAACATGCAGTAAAAGGTGTTGTAAGGTGTTGTGTCGTTAGGCCTTTCAAAGATGGAAGTGTAGTTATCTTGCCCATCACAATAATGAGCTCATCATGATACATACATGATGTCCATAGGTGAGAGTAAGTACGTGTTACACATCAAAGGCCCACGTATCTCAACGCCGTCTCCCACCGCGAAGCAGATCGCCAAGTATGCGCGCATGCGCTAACATTGTGCGAGCTGGTTTTTGTGGTGCTCTGACCCTTTATGCGCATGCAGATGAAGGGTTGGTAAATAACTATGTCTCTCCACGGCCAAGGACTTTCAGCAACTCCCTCCCTCACGCACCAGACTAGTTTCGACGGTCTTGAAGTATAGGACTAGACCAAGAGGTATTTTAAGGGAATTGTGGCACAGCATAATAGGCGCATTATGGAGCACGATCCGCCAAGGCCTACACGTTATGCAGCCCGAACATCGCGGGCAAATCCCAAGTTGGGTCGCTCCCGCTCGCCAACAATGTTCAACATTTATTCCTCTGTGTGTGCATGTGTTGTCTGTCTGACGAGTGTTACCTGTCCGGGTCGGTTCATGGTGGCTGTCTAGAGTCCAGATTTTGTAGTATCCCTGGTGCTTCACTCGCTTCTGCTACGCGTTAGAGACGTGGCATGCATGGCCATTACTGCACATTTGCAAATTTCAAAAAGAAACACTAATATAATAGTACTTATACTACCTAGCTATAGCTCTCTATCTATTTTCAGTTTGCTAGATAAGACCAGAGCTCAAAGATCACTCATAGCTAACAACGGTGGCCACGACAGTAGTTTCGTGTCATCCTTGCTGCTCGAGCCAAGACCGTAGCAGCAGAGAATGCAACACCCCAGGATGACCAACGCAGCAATCCCAGAACCAGAAGCTGCACCTGCAGTGGAGCCTGACCCTCCATCTGTATAACAATGGACTCATCATAAAATTAAAACCAGCCACAGGCACATAAATGTGTCCAGAGCTCCATATGATATGGGGTTATAATACTAGGCGCTAATAATTATACTTAATACATCAATTCCTGCAGCTTATTTAAGCAGATACCCATGGCGTCCAAAGGTTAAAAAATTTGTTCTAAAAACTGACCGTGATTTTCGTCTTCGTCCACACATAAAGTCGATGGATCTTTGTAGCCTTCAAGACAAACTTTTTCACCGGTCAGGATTGCACCGGTAGTGGCCCTGGAAGTTACTATCTCTCGGACGGCAGAAAACGTCACATTAGCCTGTCGGGTAGTAGCTAATCATCATCGCAGAGAATGCAGCTTGGTTCCAAAAAATGTCCTTCACACCTGCACTCGGTAGTATCCCCATTAAATCCATTGGGGCAAAGACCCACAGACTCTCCAAGGTAGTTGCACAGCGTTTGTTGAGGCTCTTCGATGCACTCCTTATCACACTGTGGCCCGTATTGATTGGTAGGGTACTGGGATGTGAGGCGAAACTTGACAGCCAAGCTTGCCCTTCCACATGATCCGGAGTAAGTCTTTGAAAGGCTAAACTGTGAGTCTGCTTCCAACCGTCCACTCAAAGGAATAGTTATGTCATCCACAGTATCATTGTCACCGATGGAGTCGTAATCCGTAATGTTTACATACAGCTCCAGAAGACTCTGCAACGACATAAACAACATGCTTGCTGCTAAACACGCACGCGCAGTCTTATCAGTGTTACTTAGTGCGCGCTACCCCAAACCCATGCACTCGGCAAATGCTCCACGTCAACTAGTCAAAACGTTCACGCACGTGAAGTGTCTCCTAGAGTCCGGGTAATCTGGGCCCTGCGCGCGCGTAATGGGCCTGGAGCGCGGCGGCGCGCGCGTGGGTCGTGAATGCATGCTATAAAATATTATGGCGGGGCACTCCTTATTTTTGGCAAGCATTCCTCCACATTCATAGTAGCCAGTCCCGGCCTCTCCACCTTAGACGGGTTATGTACAAGACTATAATGGAGCTCAGTATTAGCTATCTATTGCTCAATGTCCCCGCGCAACCAATCAGCGACCAGCTCGTATGAAAATGACAATCTGTCACGATGAAAAACAGTTTTTGACGCTATTGCTGTTGGTTATTATCTGAATAGCTAGAGTATGCACTACTTACCGAGGTTGAAATACTTGAAAACACCAAGGGATTACTAATTCCGAGTCGACTGAGGTCATAAGAACTGAATGTCATGCTGTCGTCTTGAACATAATTCGTACCGAGACTAGCGAGACAGAACTCGCTCCCTACAACTCTCAAGCAGAAATGAAAAACATTATCGCAAGTTCCGTAATAAACTCCATCGCAGTTTCCCCCGTTGCAGTCTTCGCTGGTCGGATTACTATAGGAAATAAGGTCCACCTCCACAGTCAGTGTAGCACTTGAATAGGTCTGTGAAAAATTTGACCATCATACACAAGTACCAACATTGGTTTTGACAAACGTACCAGTCCAAAGAAAAACACCAAAAACTTGCTGGTGATGCTCATATCTGCTCAAACTAGCTATAATTATCTAACTGCTTCTTGTTGCAAACGTATCAGCCAGCCACTGAATCAACGAAAGAGTGTTAAACCTTTCAGTATTGTAAGTATTATAGTGGCACACCACTCCCAAAATTCTGGCCCATGAATGGGCCCATGAATCCATTTATAAAAAGCCCAACACTGATCAAGCGAAAGTAAAAACTTACTTCGTATAATATTATACTACAATAACATTCTCACAGATTCCTAAAAACTACTCACATGAATCGTATCTGTTACCCTGTATAGCCAAACCCTGTAGCACTCTGGCTACCAGTGTTAGCTACTCTGGCACTAACATGAGAGTTGTATATAGCTATAAGGTGTTGTGTGCTTAGGTCTTTCAAAGATGAAAGTGTAATTATCTGGCCCATCACATTAATGATCTCATCATGATACATACATGATGTCCATAGCTGAGAGTAAGCACGTGTTACACACCAAAGGCCCACGTATTACCTCAACGCCGTCTCCCACCACAAAGCAGATCGCCAAGTATGCGCGCATATACGCGAACATTTTGCGAGCTGGTTTTTCGCTTACTCTGGTGCCCAGACCCCACATGCGCATGCGGAGGAAGGGTTGGTAAATAACTATGCCTCTCCACGGCCAAGGAATTTCAGCAACTCCTTCCCTCGCGCACCAGACTAGTTTCGACGGTCTTGAAGTGTAGGACTAGACCAAGACATAATAGAGGTATTTTAAGGGAATTGTGGCAGAGCATAATAGGCGCATTTTGGAGCACGATCCGCCAAGGCCTACACGTTATGCAGCCCGAACATCGCGGGCAAATCCCAAGTTGGGTCGCTCCCGCTCGCCAACAATGTTCAACATTTCCACTAGTTGTATTCGATGTTTTCTGTCTGACGAGTGTCTGTCCATAATGTCCATACCTGTCCGGGTCGGTTCACGGTGGCTGTCCAGAGTCCAGACTGGTACTTCACTCACTTCTGCTGCGCGTTAGAGACGTGGCATGCATGGCCATTACTGCACATTTGCAAATTTCAAGAATATGCACTAATATAATAGTATACTACCTAGCTCTCTAACAATTATTATTGTTCTACTATCTATTCTCAGTTTGCTAGATAAGACCAGAGCTCAAAGATCACTCATAGCTAACAACGGTGGCCACGACAGTAGTTTCGTGTCTCCTCTTGCCGCTCGAGCCAAGACCGCAGCAGCAGAGAATGCAACACCCCAGGATGACCAAGAGAGCAATCGCAGAACCAGTAGCTGCACCTGCAGTGGAACCTGACCCTCCATCTGCAGTGGAACCTGACCCTCCATCTGCATAACAATGGACTCATCATAAAATTGAAGCATAATGCTATAGTATATTCTAAGAACTGACCGTGATTTTCGTCTTCGTCCACACATAGTGTGGATGGATCTTTGTAGCCTTCAAGACAAACTCTTTCACCGCTCTCAGGATTGCACTGGTAGTGGCCCAGGTAGTCACTGTCGCTCGGACTACAGAAAACGCCACATTGGCCTGTCGGGTAGTAATCCTCATCGCAGAGAATGCAATTGGGTTCCAAAAAATGTCCTTCACACCTGCACTCGGTAGTATCCCCATTAAATCCATTGGGGCAAAGACCCACAGACTCTCCAAGGTAGTTGCACAGTGTTTGTTGAGGCTCTTCGATGCACTCCTTATCACACTGTGGCCCGTATTGATTGGTAGGGCACAGGGAAGTGAGGCGAAACTTGACAGCCAGGCTTGCCCTTCCACATGATCCGGAGTAAGTCTTTGAAAGGCTAAACTGTGAGTCTGCTTCCAATTGTCCACTCAAAGGAATAGTTATGTCATCCACAGTATCATTGTCACCGATGAAGTCGTAATCCGTAATGTTTACATACAGCTCCAGAAGACTCTGCAACGACATACACGGTTGCAGCTATAATAGCTAAAGACGCATGATGCGCAGTCTTATCCGTGTTACTTTGTGCGCGCTACGTATTACCCCCATGCACTCTGCAAATGCTCCACATCAATGAATTGGAGTTATAACACCTAAATAACAATTCCGTGGATACTACGCGCGCGTAATAGGCCTGGGGCGGCGCGCGTGGGTCCTCATGGCGGGGACACTCCCTATTACTTTTTCATGCATTCCTCCACATTATAGCAAGTCCCGGCCCTCTCCACCTTAGACGGGTTATGTACAAGACAGTAATATAATATAATTTGTATTAGCTCAATGTTCCTGCGCAACTTGAGCTCAAAATAAGGGACCTACATGCTAGCTCGTATGAAATGACAATATTCTACATACCACATTCAAAACAGTTTTGGATGCCATTGCTGCTGGTTATTATTGAATAGCTACAGCTAGAGTATGCACTGCTTACCGAGGTTGAAATGTTTGAAAACACCAAGGGATTACTAATTCCGAGTCGACTGAGGTCATAAGAATTGAATGTCATGCTGTCGTCTTGAACATAATTCGTACCGAGACTAGCGAGACAGAACTCGCTCCCTACAACTCTCAAGCAGAAATGAAAAACATTATCGCAAGTTCCATAATAAACTCCCTCGCAGTTTCCCCCGTTGCAGTTTTCGCTGGTCGGATTATGATAGGAAATAAGGTCCACCTCCACAGTCAGTGTAGCGCTTGAATAGGTCTGTGAAAAATTGACCATCATACACAAGTACAACATTGGTTTTGACAAACGTACCAGTCCAAAGAAAAACACCAAAAACCTGCTGGTGATGCTCATGTCTGCTCAAACTAGCTATATAACTGCTTCTTGGTGCAAACGTATAAGCCAGCCACTGAATCAACGAAAGAGTGTTAAACCTTAGTTATAGTGGCACGCCACTGGCCCATGAATGGGTTCGTGAATCCATACTGATCAAGCGAAAGTAAAAACTTACTTCATATATAATGTAGTTGAAGTATTACAATAACATTCTCACAGATAACTAAACACTACTCATATGCAGGGTTTCGTCTAGAGTTTGGAACTTGGGGGGAAGTCTACCACTCACTCATCAGTGCTGTGAGTGCACGAGATATTTAAAGTAGGCATCAGTTTCTAATTAGATCACTACCACATTGCAATTATATACCTATCTGTTACTATGGCAACCAGTGATAGATACTATGGCCCTTATGTTATTATGAATGTTAATCTGGTGTGCTCAAACTAGCTGCTTCTTGGTGCAAACGTATCGGCCAGCCACTGAATCAACAAAAGAGTGTTAAACCTTTCAGTATCGTAAGTATAATTATAGTTATAGTGGTATGCCACTCCAAACTTGTAAAAGTGGTTGCTGGGTTAACCAATGTAGAGGATGGAATGCTGCTAACATGCGTTAGAGGCTTCTGGCCCATGAATGGGCTCATGAAACCATTTATAAAAGCCCCATGCTGGTGAAACGAAAGTAAAAACTTACTTCATATATAATGTAGTTGAAGTATTACAATAACATTCTCACAGATAACTAAACACTACTCATATGCAGGGTTTCGTCTAGAGTTTGGAATTTGGGGGGAAGTCTACCACTCACTCATCAGTGCTGTGAGTGCACGAGATATTTAAAGTAGGCATCAGTTTCTAATTAGATCACTACCACATTGCAATTATATACCTATCTGTTACTATGGCAACCAGTGATAGCTACTATGGCCCTTATGTTATTATGAATGTTAATCTGGTGTGCTCAAACTAGCTGCTTCTTGGTGCAAACGTATCGGCCAGCCACTGAATCAACAAAAGAGTGTTAAACCTTTCAGTATCGTAAGTATAATTATAGTTATAGTGGTATGCCACTCCAAACTTGTAAAAGTGGTTGTTGGGTTAACCAATGTAGAGGATGGAATGCTGCTAACATGTGTTAGAGGCTTCTGGCCCATGAATGGGCTCATGAAACCATTTATAAAAGCCCCATGCTGGTGAAACGAAAGTAAAAACTTACTTCATATTATAATGTAGTTGAAGTATTACAATAACATTCTCACAGATAACTAAACACTACTCATATGCAGGGTTTCGTCTAGAGTTTGGAAATTGCCCATGGGTCCTTTGTGGGTTTTGAGTGTTCGTTGTCACTCCTTCACCAGAGTTATAGCTACACATCTGACTTCCACAGAAGATCAACACTATAGATAGGTAGCTGCCGAGGCTAGGAACCTGTTGCAATCGCATATCTATCCATTACCTATCTGTTGCTATGGCTACCAGTGCTAGCTACTTTGGCACTAACATGCAGTGTGCATAGTAGCTAGGTGTTGTTTCCTTAGGCCTTTCAAAGATGGAAGTGTAGTTATCAGGCCCATCACAACAATGATCTCATCATGATACATACAATATTTCCATAGGTGAGAGTAAGTACGTGTTACACACCAAAGGCCCACGTATCCATAAATATCTCAACGCCGTCTCCCACGCAAAGGAGATCGCCAAGTATGCGCGCATTTTGCGAGCTGGTTTTCTTGCTTAGTCTGGTGTCCAGCACCCCCCTTGCGCCACCACTTCAACATACAAAAGTTAGCCGCTCGCATGACTAGGCTCACTGACTACTACCGGCGGCGTCCGAGTCGGCGACCAAAGACCTAAGCTAAGCGCGCGCGTATTGACCCGCGCAGTCTATTCGCTAGACGTCACCCGAGGGTCGAGGCTACAAATGGCTAACATACTCAGTGCTGAACAATGGCGTGTATAATGAAAAGCATTGAAGTGCAAACCCTCGGCGAACTGTGACGCACAATCGTTAGTAAACGCATGCGCCGTACCACTAATTGATGGGCTGGGTTTAGCTTTAGCTGTTACTCGTGGTCTCTTGCCAGCTCACGCAGAGTCTGACGCGGTCTAACTACACTACTATAAGAGGCGATACACGCTCTGCGTTGCATCTTCTGGTGACTCCGAGGTACGCAGAGCACGCGGGTCGATCATGCCGTAGTAAGCCGTTGTGTATTTGCATATTGGCTTTTTCGCGCTCTAGCTTTGCAACGGAGCGTTTTCAGAGAAAACCGTTCGAAAATTTCTGACCTTCATTGCCCGTTCAGTAGGTGGTATCCTTTGTTAGACGAACAAACACCCGAGAAGTGAGATTGAGAGTAACAGACACACACACAGACACACAGACCCAAGTACTGTAACCCTCGCTGCGCATGCGCGCCGAGGGTTAATTATACAGCTGTACAATGACTTCACCCCAGTACCCTCTGCGCGCGCACACACGTTCGCACGCTCCCTAATGTATCCTAGAAACGCCACTGATATGCGCATGCGGAGGAAGGGTTGGTTAAAATAACTATGCCTCTCCACGGCTAAGGAATTTCAGCAACCCTTCCCTCGCGCACCAGACTAGTTTTCGCTACGCCGGCGACGACGGTCTTGAAGTGTCATGGAAAACATCAAGTACTGCAGTGGAAACGACTATTTCGATAAGTTTGATCCCAACATCTACCTACGCAGGCATTCCCATATTGACAATAGTCGGCACATGCTCCGCTGCTTTCACGGTGCATTTCAAACCATTCCTAAGGGAGTAAGTGTTCTCGATTACAGCTCTGGACCGTCCGTCAGGGGTACGATTTCAGCGGCAACAAAGGCGTCAGAGATCGTTCTGTCTTACTATTCAGCAAGCAACTTTCAACTTGCTAGAGATTGGGTTGAAGATCAACCACACTCGTTCAACTGGAACCCTCATTTTAGTTTTGTCGTGAAAGATCTCGAAGGAGGAGACAAAAATACAGTGCTGCAGAGGCCAAAAAGTGTTCGAGGTATCATCAAAGGGTTCGCCAAATGCGATGTTACTCAAATTCCACCAATTGAAGAGAAATACAACAAGTTGTACGATGTCGTGATATCTTCGTACGTGCTCGAGTCTGTAGCAACTAGTAACGAAGAGTATGCGGTTTTAATGTCTCGAATAACAAGGCTTGTAAAACCTGGGGGATATTTTCTTCTTTACGGTGTCGAAGACCACCAACGTTACATTATCGGAGACCACACTTTTTTCACTTTCCCCGTAGCGTCCTCTGTAACCAAGAATGCTCTGGAAAAGTGTGGATTTTCAATTTTATCTACCGATAAAAAGACTCAAAAAACCGCTCATTATGTGTTTTTCCTAGCAAAATCTATGCATTGAGGATCTTCAATGAGCTAATGTGTGATGTCCACTTTGTAGCAACTAATTATATGGTGTTAATAGGGTAGTGCCAAATGGATGTTGTCAACCTTTAATTGTTCAATAATTGAATTCCAAGTTGTATACCATAATCTAACTGCAGGTGTAACGCCAAATGCATTGGTAGGTGCAATGCCAAATACATGTAGGTAAGTATGGACACTGTATAGTAGCTTAGAAGTCAAGACATGTGAAAGAATATCTCATTGCTGAAAAAAGAGGACATACGTAGCCCTAGCCCTTAACAATGCCTACAAATAAACAACATTTTCATATATACTAGGTATATAGTGAGTGAACGAACATGCAAGTGCTTTAAAAAGAGCCGCTCTTGTTTAGCTACAGTTTGTTTTTATCTCAGCCATGCCATTGTATATTCACGTGTTTGGTGGGCCTGTCTTTCCCTTGGTAAAAACCTTTTTAGACCCCGTAGCTATTAGCTATCCACATTAACTCCAGAGGAATATTTTCCACTGTATATGCTTTTCTGCTGCAGTCTGTCAGGACTAGTTTTGGGCCGTCCCTCCTCTCACTTGCTTCCTAATTAAGGCCACCCTGCTTCCCACTGTCCCTTCTGAACACCTTCACTTAGGCACATGTTACTGCATTAATATTTTTGTGGTATTCAACAGGATTGCTGCTACTATAATATTATAGCTTCTTATGCGTCTTACTCTTAACAATAATCATTTTGCACTCTATCACTAATAGAAGGGATCTGATAAGTATGTGAGACAAAGAGCTTGAATATATTCTACTTAACCACAGCTTTGAAATCCTATCACGCTTCTACTTGTTCTCTTTTGGTTCCTACTCTTTCGCTCCCTCCTTCACCTTCCACTGCCACTGCAGTTCCTTCGTCAGTGTCTTCTCTCTGGTCCACGCTCAGATGGCGTAGATCAATCTCGACGATTGGATTCTCAGTTTGACATTGGTACTTCCTAACAACAGCCACATCAAAAATGTGTTGGAAATGAAAAGCTTTTGCATTCTTGCACTTGGCCCATTATAATACTGTATCATAGTTGGTGTGTATCCCTTTGTACAGCCTTGCCAAATTTTCCCTTCTTCCCTCTATAGACAATCAGAACTTACAATGTGGCTACTTTCCCCCAGTACAACGTTTTCTCGGCTTCTCTCTCCATTTGGTGCCCACCATATATAACAGTCTTTATCTGTGACTGTACGATCTTTATGGCACATCTTGGGCAGGGGGCTCCAGTGGTATAGAGAGTGGCGGAGGTGAGCTCTGCGTTGTATCTGAAGGCACTCATAATGCCATTGAACTCAGCACAGCAAACTGTACGTAAAGAGATATATTATTAATACACCGTCAATTTCATATATACATCAAAAGACAGAGACGTAACACTATCACTCACATATGTTCTCTAGTGCCAAGTAAAGTACTCACCATATCCATCTGAGAATCCATCAACGAATCCATTAGAGCCAACACTTACAACACGACGAATTTCCTTGGACACTAAGCAGGCACCAACACTCTCCTAACATCGATATTTACAACGTCATTATTAGCTACCCAACAGGTGCTTAACTTGCCTTTTCATGAAACGGACTTTGGGATTTGGCCAATACTGCCACAGCCATAAAGAGATCGTCACTTGGTAGGTCAATCTCATTTTTAACTGTTTCAAGTTTGCATAGTTAGCTATGTTGTATATTTTGGCAATTGTGAGTTCAATCAAATCTCTTTACCTGAGGTAGTTTTGTCACCATTATCTACTTGCAGATCTCTAAAGGCATCAGAAGTAAAAAAAGTAAACACAAATAGCTAATTATCATTATCGTGACGTACTCAGATGTATCTATCTTGACGGTGAGACGTGATAGATTAAGTGTTATTATTGGACTCTTTTTGCTTTCACCACTTATGTCCTTGTAAAACCTGCGTGTTAGAGACGGAGCAAAACGTTATTAACCCTCGGCGCGCATGCGCAGCGAGGGTTACAGTAGTCTGTCTGTCTGTCTGTCTGTCGATGCTTATTCTGGCACTACAGGCTACGAGGTGGGCAATGAGCGATACCAACGGGTTCAGAACTACGCGAACCTGAAAATAATCAGGACATTTTTCTGAAACGACTGCGTTCGAGATATATGCCGTGAAAACAAGCGAACGTAACACTTAACCACCCAATGTGGCTGTGTTTGTAAGGCCTAAGTTTAGAAACACTAACTTAACACTTAACCAGCCACCGACACATAAAATGTGCCCAAAGACTCCATAAGTCTATATAGGGGTTATAATACTAGGCGCTAATACTTTATTCATCAGTTTATGCTCATTTAAGAAGATCAACACCACCCTATAAATTTATTGTTCAGTTACTTCATAGTACTGTCACTTATGTATAATGTATTGCCACATTTCACCTAATGTCCATGTCTGGAATTCGTCCAAGAATGTCGTACATGTGGCAGCCATTCCTGTAGTACTTGGCAAACACCAGGTTCCTGATCCCGGCCCCAGCCACAGTCAGTGAGCAGTCGTCACAAGGAGACAGAGTGGTGTAGAGAGTACAGCCAGACAGGTCACCTGTTCTCTTGAATGCTGTGATTACAGCATTCACCTCCGAATGACAAACTAAATAGGCAGAAAGAGGAATGAATGTAGGGGAACTATTGTGGCCCCTACTGTATTTCTTTTGGTTTGGGGGGTTCCAGTCAACATTATTGTCACTGAAATCGCGACCATCAGGAACTGTATTGTATCCCAAGGACACCACGTGATGTGGATAGGGAGACACAAGACATCCTCCAATCTGTGGAAAAAAGAAGTTTCCAGGCAACTTTATTATCACTGATCTCAAAGTACTCTTTATTGAGTAATAGCCTCTTCAACTGACTAGTTACATGACTTCTAAATGAAGAGTTTTGGGATGCAAGGCAATGAAGCTATCATACAGGTGCCATACAATTCACATACGCACGTGACGCCACACACAACGGAAGTGAAACACTATATACATGCACAATTTGTAGTATGTGCACAGAATATGCACTACAGTATAAACTGAACGCCAGACAATGGCTGGAGTGGGGATTAGGCAATTACATAATAAAGTATCGAAATTATACTTATTATCTCACATAATGTTTCTTGTCTTTACTTCTTGTAGAAGACAAAAATGCCATTGCCATGAAATAGTCTGTAAAGTATGGCATTTCTCGACCTGTGGCTATAAAAGAAAACTTTTTCCATCTGGCACATTTATTTTTAAATCAATTTTGAGAAAGAGACAAAAGCCTTTTTGTGTCTGACTTGTTCTTAACTCACACATTTGTGGTTTAGGCTCTTCTACTGGTTTATCTTCATCTGCGACTAAACAGTTTTCAACATTTTTGAAGGAAATCGTAGAGTTACACAGATCTATCGTAAACTTCTTCTCGTCGTCATTAATCCGAATATAGCACTCATATCTCCTAAAAAAATTTTAAAAAGTTTATTAAACTATCCTGTTACAAGTATTAAAACGTTTACTTGAAACAAGCTTTTTCACGATACACCAGATGATGCACATCCTTCGTCAGGCCCTGTTTGTCACGGTCTCCGTATACCACGACTCTAAGCCCAGCCTTAAGAATGGCCACGGTGCAGGCAAGACACGGTGGGTCGGTGGTGTAAAGGGAGCACTTTTAAGGTCCACTCCTCGACACAATTTAGCATTGAGTAGAGCATTCAACTCGGCATGAATGGATGCTATAATAAAGTATACAAGCAGTGATTGAAGGGACTGTGTCAGTGTATAAGGGCCAAGTTTAGGGCCCAATGCAAGAATCCAGTAAGGTTTTTAACATCCTAATTTTAGCCCTTATAAGAGTGCTACGTTCCCTTTAGTGGTACAACAGATATTGATTGTTAGCTAAACCTTTGCAGTGTCCAAGGCCGATAACATGAAGTGAATCGTTGGATACGACGCAAGCCCCAACATTTTGATCCTGTATAAGACACAGAGAGAGTTTTTTTAATACAAAGTTTGCATCCAACTGATGAAGTGTGCACAAGAGTGCAAAAAGCTCATACTTTGGCATCCAGCAACTGAGCTAATATTGCTATTGTCATGAAATAGTCATCAGCAGGTAGTGGGAAACTGAACTTCGCAGTAGACGGCTGCTCGCTAAATGCTTTCACTTCTTCCACACTTTGGAGCTCTGCTCTGAGTTTGACGAGATCCACAATGATATTACGTTCCTCAAACCTACAACAACATAATAATAAAATTACGATAAGTATATAAGATATTTACTTTTCTTTTCCATCAGGGGTCTCTTTAGTCATCAATCTCACTGTTTTGTGAGGCAGAGATGTGGAGTATACTTCATAGCCATCAAAGCTGCTGCCGTTGTCAGGGAGAGTGCAGACATTTGGGTGTATTGTACTGCACGCAACAGCATGTGTATCTAAATAAATGAGAAATCAGTACGTTTTCTTTTGCATGTATAGCTTACTCTTGTGCCTCTTAGTTACCCGTCATGTATCTATATCTATAAATCGTGCATAATCATAATACACCTCACTAACGAGTTTAGCCTTGGATGCCAGCAGCATCGTATATATATAACTATATTACAGGGGGGACGCCCATGGCGCGCGCAATAACTTCCGCAATATTCGCAAATGTGTGATAATCCGACAATAATCTCGTCCTACCTTCCTCTAGCCCATCGAAACTTAGGCCAAAAACTTCAATTCCGTTATACTTCCACTGCAGAGATCTTGACGTGTCCTTTGCACAGTATTTCTCCTGAGGCTTCGACGCGATGCACAATCCATGACTCACCTGCGAGTGTGATCCCTACATCATTAGCTACGGATACTTATACGAGTAGCTAACAATTCACCACAACCACACAGCTAATACACAATGTACCGCTCTTTTCTTTGTGTCGGGCTGGCTTTGGTACGCCGCTAGGATACTCAACGAGCAGAGGACTCTAGACCGCTGCTGGTGGACACTCATTGCAGCATAGCTACACTATACTATCTGCGTACAATATAGCTAAGGAATGTAATTTGCACGTATCTTACACAACAGAATAAAAGCTTAATTTTTAGATTGTACGACAGAAGAAGGAAGTTCGTCGGACGTTTTGCGCGCATGCGTCGCCGGCCTCGAGCGTGCGCGCGACGAGCGCGGTCGATAATGGTGGTGGCAAGTGGTTGCTATATGGTTGATATTTTTTGTTTAACGGCCAATGAAGGTCATAAATTTTCTCTGAAACTGCTCCGTTGCAAAGCTAGAGCGCGAAAAAGTCAATATGCAAATACACGACGACTTACAACGGCATGATCGACGACGTACCTCGGAGGCACCAGAAGATGCACGCATGGCGTGTATCGCATCTCGCATGCTATCTAGTAGTGTAGTTAGCCCGCGTCAGTCTCTGCGCGAGCTGGCAAGAGACCACGAGTAACAGCTAAAACTAAGCCCAGCCCATCAATTAATAATAATAATGGCAGTGACCCAGCGGGCATATGCACAGTACATTAAAGGAAACAACATTGTGACAACAATTTAATTACTGTGTTTAAGGGTCCAAAAGCAGCTGCTGTATGGCACACGTTTACATGATGAAAAAATAGAGACAGCGGATTCTGCATTTACGAGAAGGGAAATAATAATGGTCATATGAAAGGTTCTCCATTTCGCTTGGGTGGTTTGTACAAGCGTGTTCGAGGCATGAGATGTTTCTGGGCACCGCTGAGTCACATAGCGAACACTGGAAACATGAGCTTGGACGGCAGAGTTCCTTGAAAATCGCCTGCATGATGCGAGTGCCTTTAACTCCTTGGTCTAGGGCAACGTCCCATAAACGGCGCCATGATGTATGAGTGGCAACTCGAGAGGCTGCAGCAGCTGATCCACAGCTTTGGGTGGCTGAAAGCAGTAGAATCTTGAAATCGGAGTTAAGGAGGTGTTTTTTGTCGCTTCTAACAATGTCAGGTGCACTTTCAGGATCTGATAGGCATTTTGCGAGGACACACGTACCCAGGTTTGCTTCCAACATTCTGCACTGTTGGACTATGGATGTATCATATATATTTTCCATTGCAAGTGAGGAAAAAATCCTGCGACTGATTGTGTCTTTAGTTCCTGATAGGAGCTTGTTGAGAAAGCTGAACTTCCTGATGAGAATACGGGTAGCGACTGTGGGCCAATGAAGACCGATACGTACAGCAAGTTTGGAGTAGAATTTTGGCACGCGCAAAATGCGGCATCCAATCTCATGTTGGAAACTCTCTAGAATATTGAGAGAGGTGGAGTCCAGCAACCAGGTCTCACTGCCGTATAGTAGTATTCGGATAATTAGTGGTAAGGCGCATGCATTTACTTACGCGTGCGCGTACAAATGCGCCGAGGGTTTGCACTTCATCATTCTCTTTTTTCCCCTTCTTTTTGTTTTTTTGTTGTTTTTTGTTTTTGTTCTTGGTTAATGTCTTTGTGTATAATTATACCTTTTTGTCTCACACTTTCTTTTTATTCGCTTAAAAAATCCTTGATGTAGTAAGTACAGCTCTCCTCAGAGAGTTCACTAACTCGTTGATTCGTTCAACGTAGACTTTCGGACCGTAAAGCCTGTACACTCACGGCACTTCTAGTCCATATCCCGCTCCTCGGTTGATCTTCTGTCCCGTCACTTCCACGAAGGCCTTGTTAACATCCCTCCGCAAAAATTGAGACAATCGCGGAGCGAGGTTGTGGGGAACATGTCCCACAACGACATCTTCTAAGAACACACCAACTGCGTTCTTGTCCTTGGCGTTCGTTGGTTCCCGCTTTACAAGCAACGTCTGGCCTTGAACTGGATTCCATATGCCCATGTAGGCATGGTAACCTCTAATATGCGAACGAATCTCCAAAACTTCGAGGTCTGCTGCTGCTGTACCGCCAGTGCTAGTGACCTGACTTGCCATCGTCTGTCCATACTCTGCGAACCGGGTGTATAGTGGTCTGTCCGAAGCAGACACGCATGCGCAGGCCCAGTATGGGCGGAGTATGGGTAGGTGTGGTTTCGGTGTCCGCGCGCTGAGCATGAGAGGGGAGCAAAATGTATGGGCGCTGTCCAGCGGGGGATGCCGTCAGTGTCCGTTGTCGGGATCTCGGAGGCGTCCGCTTCTCGGAGGTTTGTAATGTATTAGTTCTATGGTAGTTTCAATCCGTTCCTCGGCGCCTGTCCGCTTTTCGGAGGTTGTCCGCTTCTCGGAGGGTCCGTTATGAGAGGTTCCACTGTATATTAGAGTTTATTGTATTAAATAATAAATATGTATGTCTCAACAACTTGGTAGCGAGGTAGAAAGGCAAGGCAAGGCAAACGAGTCAACTACTCTGTGTATGTATCTAGTGTAAAGAGAGTTATTTTTTAACCCTGTGCAGTCTAAATATCGAGAGCTGGCGGAGGAGAGAGAGAGGGTGTTGGCGGACGTGAAGGAGACGGAGCAGCTGAAGGAGGAACTCGCGGCTCTGAAACGACACCTGAAACTTGTCGAGGTTTGTTTCTTACTAACTAACAGTGAGACACTGATGGAGAATATTATAGTTTGGAAATTTGATGTTTTTCTCGAATGGTTTGGCTGGGGTCCAAAAGATGCTAGAAACTGGTTCCATAATGACAGCATACACTATGCACAGTGTATATCTGTAATTTGTCAGCTGAACGTGCTGTGGAATGTTAAAAATTAGACACATAATATATACATACAGTAATGGGAAAGAAACTGTTATTTGTTTGTATGTACACATTTCTCTCTTTTCTCTCTCTTGTTGTCCACCTCAGGCAAGAGGCAGCCCAAACCTCTCTCGAGCCACCAAGCGTTACTCGTGGCAACCGTCTATGGAGCTGGAGTAGACCTCTCCTCCCTCACCCCTCCCTCCTCCTCCACCCCTCACCATCACATCCCCACCTCCTCCTCACGCTCCGGAATCGCAGAACTGAGAAGAAATAAACTGGATAAGGTGGGCTCTAATTGGAATCAATACCCTCACCTTATACATACGTAACTACGGAAACACTTTACACAAGATGGCTGAGATAAATAACCAAGTATTAGGTCATTAATATAAATGAATGGCTGAGATCCTATAATTAAGTATGGCATTAACAGTCTGGGTATTACTATATAAGGCATACTGAAAAAAGTGAGGTTTTGCAAATTTTTGTCTCGTTCCAAAACACATTTTAATCAATGGTAGATTCATGTCAGGGGGACCTTTTGTGGGTTAGGCCATTCTGATTCTCAGCCCTTCTAATGCAAAAGTATTTATGTAGCTTATAATGCATGTTTTAGTGTCTGTTTTTCTCGTGTTAGGTTGTTGAAGAAGATGAAGTGTCTGGAGTGACTCTAACTGTGTCAGGGGAAGGAGGAGGAGGAGGGAGAGGGAGATGGATGAGAGATATGGATCTCGGTGACCTGGCGGACGAGGAGGGAGTGGCAAGACTCTTGAAGGATCTTGAGGGAACTGTCAAAGAATGGAGTGAGTTACTGATCAGGGCGGGAAATGCACCTTGACTTACCCAAACTCTCAATGGTACTAAACAAAGACAAAATTTACCGGCTTTTGTTGATTTTGTAGATTCGGCAACCATGAATACTAGTGTAATTTTTGGCAAGCGAAACGAGCAGTTCCATTTTCTAGCCTTTCACGCGTGTTTATAATTGCGTGAACATTTCGGTGCCTGTCACACAAATATAAGTTAATTCCCGCATTCAGACGACTATGTAGTTGGGGGGAGGAGCCAGCACATCACTATAACTGTATGTACGTATGTACAGTTGGACATCCGAATAGCGAAAATATTGGGACAGCAATTTTTTCCCCATTATTCGGAGGTTTTCTTGATTGAGAGGTATATGTATATATATAATGGTAAAGGTAGTTGGTACATACATGGAAATAAGTTCATTATAGAGAGGTTTTCACTGTTAGGGGAGTTTGTTATCAGAGGTTCCACTTTACATTCTCCCTGTCCTCAGATCAAGAGGAGAGAGTGAGGGAGGGAGAGACGAGGGAAGAAACCAAGTTCCTGAGTTTGATTCCAAGATCCCCAGACCAGCCGAAGGCTCATTCTTCAATCCCGGTCTCGAGTCCATGCCGGTACGGAATCGGGACACAATCGCTGCATATACCTGAAAAAGTGTCCTATAGGCATTAAGTTTGAGTTTTATACAGTTTTAGTATGCAACAAATTTCCGCTCAATTTCGTGTTTTTTTTCAGCTGAATTGATAAGTGCAATGCGTTTTAGTATAGTGTGTAATACGCTATTTTATTTGGAGATAATGTATTTTTTCATCAATTTTTTCTCTCTATTTTCAGCGGTCATCTCCCCCGACTAGTAGACGTGGCCGTAAGCTCAAGGCAGAGACGATGCCGGGAGCCATGTACCGTGTGTCGCAACCTGCATCCCCTCCCCCTCCTCCCTCCCTTTTTCCTCCTCCCTCCCTCCTCCCTCCCTCCTCCCTCCCCCCACCTCCTCTTCCCCCGTCCCTCCGCGGGGCTCCAGTGGAGCCGCATCTCCTAGCAACAGTAGCAGCAGTGGGGATTCCGCCAACCAGTCTACAAGGTATTTACACATCATTCAAGTCAGTTGAACCTCTCTCTAAGGACACTCCTCAAACGAGGACTCATCTCTACCAAGGACACCGTTCAGTTTTCCAAGATCAGTTCTTGCATGTAATTTAACCCCTGCAACTCTACAAACTTTATTGTGTCTCAATATAATACTATTGCCAGCTTTTTAGTTTCGGAGGTAAATTATTCTTATGGAACTGATTAACTTGTAACTTTATTGTATCTTCTAAGTATCCTGGGAACGAAAAGATTTTACCCCTACAAAAAGCACTTTACACACACAGTATATACATACTACTAGTGTGATAGTGTACATTCTAGTACGTTCTGATACTGTACATATGTTTTGTGTGAGTAAGTATGTGAGAGCTGATGTCGTGTCTGAATCCAGTTCCAAACCTCGTGAGCCGTACTCCCCCCCTCTCCCCCCTCTCTTCATTTACTGTCGTTTCTCATTTGTATGATAACCTGAAGGCAATTTGCACTGCACGCTCCAAACATGTGAAATCTAGTTTTGATTGTTAGTTTGACTGTCCTTCCCCCCACATGCTTGTTAAAAGTACGAAAAGTTTAGGCCACCCTATTTTCCACACTCACTCCTTAGGATTATTTGCACTGCACACTCCAGCTATAGTCAAGGTATTCAGGATGGTTGGTTGGCCTGTCCCTCCCCCCACTTGCTTGCTAAAAGTACGAAAAGTTTAGGCCACCCTATTTTCCACAGTCACTCCTGAGGATTATTACCACTGCACACTCCAGCTATAGTCAATGGTATTCAGGATGGTTGGTTGGCCTGTATTTTACTCTGTTTTCAGACTTAAAGTACGAAAAGTGTATGCCATATAGATTAATTCACACCGTAACTACTGTTAATTTTCACGTCCCCCCCACCAGCACATCGTGTCAGTGATCCCCAGATGAGAGACAGTGTTGATTTCGGTGAGCTACTGGAGAATCAGGAGGACAGAGAAGAAGACAGACAGAGAAAGTCAGTTGTTTTTCCCCTCCTTACGTTTTGACATCTCATGTGTATTGGTTATTATGTGTAGCCAGTAAAAATATTTCCAGGTTTACCTGCAAATCTATGCATACGGTGAAACCTCCGTTTTTCTCCTTGTCTTTAGCAATATTGGCGGTTACAAATTACATGTGCAGCCAGTAAAAATATTGCCTGGTTTACCTGCAAATTTTGAGAATTTATGAAACCTCAGTTTTTCACCTTGCATATTGGCAGTAACGTGCAGCCAGTAAAAATATTGACAGGTTTACCTGCAAATTTTGAGAATTTATGAAACCTCAGTTTTTCACCTTGCATATTGGCAGTAACGTTCAGCCAGTAAAAGTTTACCTGCCAATGTTGGCGTTTTTAAACATTGTGCGATGCAATAAAGCCTCCAACCCCATTCAGAGGGTATAGTTTAAACGCCAACATTTGCAGGTAAACCTGGCAATATTTTTACTGGCTGCACGTTACTGCCAGGTGAAAAACTGAGGTTTCGTATTTTCTGAAGCTACAATCATTTTTTATTCATGTGACCTTGGAGTGATTTGCTGACGACCGTCCTACAGAGGGGACTTCATTTCAGTCACTGGGATACAATGACTCTAGTGGCGTGGCTGGAGGTGTGGGTGGGTGTTCACTGTACATCATGGCCATCAGGAACTGCATAGCCAATGGAGCCATGTTGAATGTTAGTTTGAGAAGGCGGAGGGACACAGAAAATGGGGGCATTACAGTTGCATTTAAAGGGACTTGTCAGTACATAAGAGCTAAATTTAAAAAGGTTACTAAAGATAGAACTAAACAATAGAACCCAGTGAAAGAATGCAATTAGGTTTCAGTTTTTAGTTAGTAACAATTTCAAACTCTCTATCCCCCTCTCTCTCACCGTATCCCCGCTGCCTCAGAGTCTGACGGAGGCGGAATTGGAACAGGAGTTTGGAATCGGCCTGCCTCAGTATATACAAGGTATACATACATACACTGTACATATATACACAGTGTGTGTATATGTGTGATTCAAGTTGTTTATATACAGTTAAACCTTCTATAATGCAGACACCAATGGGACAGAAGAAAGTGTCCATATTAGTGAGGTGTCCTTATTTCAGGGGTTAAATTGCACGCAAGAACTGTTCTCGGGGAAAGAAAAGCCTTCTTTTCTCATTTTATCTTTTGTAGCTTCTACTTTGTCTATATATCTCTCTCGCTTCCCTCCCCCCCTCCCTGTTAACATGATTGCTTCATAATTGTAGGTTTTTATCCTACACCCTGCGAAAAATTCATGCATGCCTTCCTAATTGTGTTACTGCATTTACTTATTGCTAGCTTTTTTTTCAAATTTCTCCCCACCCCTGAATTTTCTCTGTCCTCTGTCCTAAAAATTTTTCCCTCCCCCCTCCACCAATCCAGGTATTCAAGGTATATACATATGTCTAGTAGATGCATGAATGTTGGAATACCTGACGAAGAAGGACCTGCGAACTGCCCTCAAAAGTGGTGGACACGTCTCACAGAAAAAGTCTTCAGTACGGCATCTCTGTCCTCAAGAAAGCTGGGCGGTATATCGCACATACATACATGAACATGTAGTTGACTTGTTTGCCTTGCCTTGCCTTTCTACCTCGCATTGTTGTTGAGACATACATATTTATTTTTTACGTGACTGTTGATTAATACTGTACATCAACAACCTCACCCAACTCTCTATATATGAGTTTGACTTGACATTACTCTCTCGCTACATTCTAAAAGCCAACAAACCATAGCCTTGAAAATGTATTGTGCCCAGAGTTTTTCTATGTGACATCACGCATTTTATTGTCTTGTGCAAAATGATGCTACTGTGTATGCATATGTACGTGACTACATGTGTTCCCTTTTCTATCTGCTACAGGAACTGGAGAGGAGAAAGAAGAGCTGTGGATGTCAGAACCAAGAAGTAGAACTGACTGTTACTCACCTGCCCCAAATATTTCTCGCATTGTCAGCTGCACACCTGGGGTTTCTAACGAGGTTTAGCATGTCTGGCAGTGTCCCACCCTGATCCCGCAAGATTAACTGGCCGCTTGCGCAATGTGCACCACGTGGTATTGAGCATGCGCAGTATGGCTCGTGGTTGTTTGGGCATGCAGTCCGGTTCGCGCGCGCACATTTGCTCGGTGCAACTGAGCATGCGCACTGTTGAAGTATAAAACATCGAGGTCCGCGCAGTCGGAGCATCCCGGACGTTTTTCTCGGAGAGGGACCCCGTGACTCGTGTCTTGGCACCGTTTCTAGCTCCTCACCGTTGCCGCGAAGTAGTCGCACTACGGAAGGGACGTCGAGACGACCGAATTCTGTGCGGCATCTATACGCACGCGGAGTCCTGCGTTGACGGACTCTGAGCCGGTAAGTTGTGTGTAGCGCCTTCGGATCTCTCTACGTACGCGTAGCGACCTGATCTGCATCGACCGCGAGCTTGCGCAAATAGGTCGTTGTTGGTTATCTCTGCAGCACACCGCGAGTCCTCCTAATTTTTCCACTGCGCAACGCAACGACTTTTGGAATACCAGGTCCCGTTTTTAGTTAGTCAATAATTTTGGGGATTTCGATCGCAAGAACGCTGCGACAACGTCTAAAACTGCAGCGTTGGTGCTTTGCAATGCGAAATTGACCATTTTTTCCTGTCGACCTTTACCTCCAGATGGCCTTTGGTGTGGACCAACGACCATGTGCAGGAGTGGGTGTGTCAAATAGGACTGGAGGATCACGCGTGACATCTCTCCGAGAGCGGGATACACGGAGGAGTCATCGCCCTTGACAACGAGGTGGACCATGAAAGGCTCTCGCTGGCGCTGCAAATACCGCTCAGCACTTTCGAGGTATGGGTCCGTATATCCGTCCGTATACTCTCCGCTGATGTGTTACATTTACGGGGTATATACCTAAATACCTGTGTACAGGCGTTTATAGTTGTAAAAAGAGTGTAACGAGTGAAACTCTTGAAATAGGCGTTTTAGGAAACCATGAGCTGGTTGTAATTTTTTTTTGTATCAGAGTAGTTTGCTAACAGCCTGTTGGAGTAGAAATAATTTAATCATTAGGATGTGTCCTTTTTGTGTATGGGAGTGGTTCGCATTTGCGCTGATTGTGTTTTTATGACCAGGGTGTTGTGGAGTGCAGCCTTGGTATAAGTTATAGTGATTCTCATGATGGGAGGTTAAGAAGCATTAGCTCTAATGTACAATGTAAGTGCATTTGGTTTATGAGCCTAGCTGGGTGCCTACAAAATGTGCCTCGAGAAGGGTGAGAGAAATTACAATGCTTTGAGAGCGTTAACAATGCAGAAGGCAATGTTTTTGCAATGTGTCTTTGATTTTTGTATGTGTAATGTTCAGCGGATTTATTGGTGAGCAAGTCGGTGTTATTGCCAACGTAAATATCTGCTGGAAGGATATCTGATTGAAAAGTTTTTAAAAAAAAAATACGTGGTTTGATAACTGCCTGGATGTGTTGCGCTGATCTTCGTGGGTCTGTAGGGTAGCAAGTTCAAGGTAAAACAGTAACTTTATTTTATAGTGTGCATGCAATTACAGTGTATAAGAAAGTCATTTTTTTTGGTACCGTTGTGGTTAAAAGTAATGCTTTTGTAATGTATACACAAGGTAGTTAAGTGTACCAAGCATATCCTTTACCTGGTCACCGTCAGGTAGTTACTCTGGGTACTCATGATAGTGCATGGTTTCATATTCCTGGTTGGCGCCACTTCATCATTGTCTTCCACATCTTTCTCTTTCCCTGGCCCACCGTCTCTACTCCCTCCCTCCCTAGGCCCACTTGTCTCTTTAACCTCCGGCTGCCATCCTCCCTGCCCCAACCTTAGGATCTTCACGAACTATCTCAGCATTACTGCTTGTGGCCGCATTTGATAACCATTATTCCTCATATGGAACAGTAGGAGCCGGTGCTAGAACGAGCGGCCCAGCGACAGGCAGGTGTTAGCCATGGTAGGCTGTTGTAAATTAGCAAGTTGGACACACGAAGAAAAAGGCGTCCAATTCGGGTGCTCTTCTTATGTATGAATGATGACACAACAGCTTGCGCAATCAGCTGGTTGGAAACCCAGCAGCGTGCCGACTCAGGTGGGTAGTTGCATCACCATAGAGTTCTGTAACCAGAATCTTCACTTCATTTGACAGTAACTGGTAGCCATGTACTCTAGCACTTCTTTCCGCTACTTTCCCACTGCCTACTATCTCATCTCCAATAGTGCCGACTCGTACTCCTGCTCCTTGACGAGACTCTTTGGGCACCGTTGGTGCAGCTGCTCCCTCCCTCCCTCACGTTTTCCAGAATATCTTCTGAAGATGCTGTCTCTCTCTGTGTTGCATATTTGAGCTCCAGTGGGAGAGTCAATGTGTTGCACAGCACACCACGGAGCACTTCATCGTCATTCAGGGTCCCTGATGTTGTTCCAGTCTGACAATCAGTCCATAACTCCCTCAGGTGTTCCCGTAATTATATACCGCATGTAGATGATGAACTATCTCAACAGTAGTTTTGTTGGCGCATTTGATAACCAATTATTCGAAAATGCTTTTCTTTATCGATGTGTGATCCTCTTGGTGAAGCATATTTCTTCTTACAATTAGAACGAAAAGCACAGAAGTGCAAACCCTTGGCGCATTGTGACGCGCACGCGGAAGTAAACGCATGCGCTGTACCACTAATTGATGGGCTGGGTTTAGTTTTAGCTGTTACTCGTGGTCTCTTGCCAGCTCGCGCAGAGTCTGACGCGGGCTAACTACACTACTAGATAGCATGCGAGAGGCGATATACGCCCTGCGTTGCATCTTCTGGTGCCTCCGAGGTACGCAGAGCACGCGGATCGATCAGACCATGGTAAGCCATCCCGTCCGTTGTGTATTTGCATATTGGCTTTTTCGCGCTGTAGTTTTGCAACGGAGCAGTTTCAGACAAAACCGCCTTTATTTTCTGACCTTCATCGCCCGTTGGGTAGATGGTATCGATTCTGGGACGAACAGACGTTCGAGGAGTGAGATATAGAGTAACAGACACGCAGACACACACACAGACAGACACACACACCCAACTACCGTAACCCTCGCTGTGCATGCGCACCGAGGGTTAGCAAGTAGCCATCACATCTCTGGATTCTCTTCATCCGGCTTACATAACATGCAGGCTTAAGCTGATGGGAGGGAAATACTGGTTACTTACTATTAATGACATAAAAATAATTTACTCACCTTATTGGCTTCATTGGAACTGCCGGTGCTTGAGTGAGCGCCCGGCGGCTGGCAGGTGTCAGCCATGGTAAGAAAATTAGTAAGTAAGTTGGGCACTCGAAGAAATAGTAGGCGTCCCAACGTCATCTCTGCCATGAGTGGCCTGAAACCGGAACACATGCAGAGGCTCACCTACAAACTCTGCCACCTCTACTACAATTGGCCTGTGGCGTTTCGAGTACATGCATAAACTAAACTGGATGTTCCAATCCACTCATGAACCAGAAACTAAGTGAACTGGAAGGAACCTGCTCAATTGCGCAAAGTATACGAAGACAGGGACTACAGAGGAAGACTATCGCTTGCTGCCTTGCTTCGAGTCTGTGCCTGGGTAAATAAGTACTGCGTGCCGAGGGTTAATAAGTACCGTCATTACATATACGACAGTCATAGTCCCTCCCTTGTTCTCTCCAGCGGTTTTTGTAGGAAACTAATAACAATTTCGTAAACAGGAGAGCTTTTATGTTGTGAAAGGTGAAGTAAATAACATGACAATCATCTTGAGATATGTCCATGAACTTCATTGGTGTTGAGAGTTCAATGGGAGGGGGTCGTCTCCAAGGGAATGTCTTCATAAACAGTGCCGACTCTACTCCTGTCTGCTGTTTGATGACGTGGAGACTTCGGGCAGTGCTGGAACTCTCTGTCCAGCTCTGCGATCGTAAACTAGAAATATACTGAAACTCATGATGGATGTGTGTGTCATTAGCTAGCGTTGAACTTTTGTAGGACTCACCTGGCTCCACTTTACAGCCACCCTACTTTTACCTTCTCTATCTTCTTTGGTGTTTCTGCAAAGAGAAAGAACGAACGTGGTACACACAGTTACAGCTCCCCTGCTGAAAGGTTGGAGGTTTTGAAAAGGTTTTACTTACGTGAGAGGCTTTTTTTTCGTGATCCTTACAGAGACAGTCTATCGATGCTTCGCTAACCAGTATCACCTTCACCTTAATCAAGTACGGCCGACGCGGCTGCGTTGAACAGATCCTGTTGGGTGTCACTTACTCAGGGGAACACGTATAGAGCGCCGTGTTCAGGGGTGAACAAATTCCGATTTCTCCTCTGTGATTGGTGTTATCAGGACATGGTCCTTCTCCTTCTTCCTCTTCAACTTCGGGGCAATTGGCTCTTCTCCTTTTTCTCCTCTGCAGACCACGGGCGAGGGTGTCTTAGGGGCTGGTTGGGCAATCCGTCAGGGTGCTGGAAGGGTCCCGGGCCGGCGTCGCAGCAGTACTGTGTCATCTATTGCTCCCACAACAGCCTGGCTTACGAGATATAATAGAACCAGTGGCCAAGAAGCCAAGGCTGCACAGCAGTCACCGTTACCGGGCGACGTCAAAACAAACGAGCTCTGTCTAACACCACGTGCCGGCGTCCTCTGCCGGCGTCCTCCCGGCTATCATGTCCTCATCGCTGCAGGAGTAGAACGGGCGAAGGGTGCAACAGCAACCGTTCGCCACACAACTATGCTTTAGTATACAACATACGGCCAGTAGCTAGCTATACACCCGAGGAGTATTTGCTCGAGACTGTGCGCCTTGCATAAGACGCCGTAGCTCGAGCGCTGAAAGGAAAAACATGCGTGGTGGTGTGTAGAGAAGAGAGCGAGCGTGTTGGGTCCATAGCCCCGAGATGAGAGTGGTTGTCAGTGAATCGAGGATGAACGAGTAGCTAGTCGTGAAGTCACCGGCGTGCGTGCTCCTGATGAGTCAATCGCGAAGCTCACGGCTGAAGTCGGTGTCGGAGTTTGTGATACGGCCCTCATAGCGGATTCCTACCTTCTGAATCTGGGAGCGACTCCGAGACTATGTGTCATCCACCAGTATGTGTGAGCGCCAGTGGAGCGCGGCTTTCGCCGGTGCCCACCGGGCCTGCGTCGTCATAAGCGGGCAGCAGAGTATGACGAGGTGCAAGCCACCCGGGGAGAGTCATGCACTCCGCCCTGAAGCTTGGTCCACTTACGCAGTGCGCGAGCTAGATAGTTGTCAGGCAGGGTAACCAGCGTTGTGGCGCGCAGTGCGGGAAATGGTAGTATGTTAGAAATCACGGGTCTGCGTGAGGGAGACAAAGGGATATAGAGTCGAGTCTATTTTGGTGCGGGGCTTCGCCGGTGAAGTGAACGCCGTACAAATGACAATGGCAGTGAAAGGCAGTGCAAAGACAGTGCTGAAGGGGCGTACCAGACAGCTAGTACTAAGCAGAGCTGCGTGAGACACTACCTCGGTTGACAGGTGAAGCCCGAGGCACAGCGATGGATCTAGTCTCCGCGCCAGAGCTGAGGCAGAGAATATTCTCTTGTGGGGAGAGTGCTGCGGGAGGCGGGTCGGGTCGATGAAGAGCGAGAGAGTATGTGTATGCAGCAGTAGGGTGCAATAGTCGATGAGTCACAGAGAGACGTAGGGTTGATGAGTACCGCGGAGATCAGACGGGCCACAGTACATGTCATAGTTTTAACTCATTGCGGACGGAGTCACAGCGTGATGTGACAGGAATTACCCCCCGTACGGACGGATGTCA